GTTCTAGAATACGACACTTAGGGTCGTATTCTAGAACTCTACTCAATACTCAAGTCAGGATTGCACTGGCAACACAAGCATTGGAAATACGACCCTTAATGGCAGGGACTTGAGTATGATTTCGAGTGCTTTAAACCATACTCAAATCATGAATTGAGCATTGAGTAGAGTTCTAGAATACTGCTCTTAGACTACTGCTCTAGATTGCTATTCCTAATCGATCAAGTGCAAAGTCGTGGTCTCTTGAGATGGTATATTTCAAGATGTTCTAAAAAAAAATAACTTGTGAATATTGTAAACAAAACAAGTTTCTTTTAAACCAACTTCCTGATGAATTTGATTTCTTTAACATCCGCTATTCTAAAAAGCCAGCGATATGTAAACATCTTCAGATAGGTACCTTCTAGAGGTATTTAAAGCAGTTAAAGAACAAGACTGGCACTTGGAATTGGCTTTTTAAAAATAAGGAACGTAATCTTAGTTAAAAACACATACGTGAATTGGACTAAAGGATGTATAAATGTTGAATGTAATTAAATTGTAGAATAGGTGTAACAACTTTGTGATACCGTTGGGATCAATGCATGAATGTTTTTATGGCTCTTAGTACTATTTTCTAATAAATCATATCAAATGGGTACGGGATGAGAAATATTCAAGATATTTATTCGATATATTGATACTTCCCACGTAAGTTGGAAGTTGTTGTAAGTCAAAATACCATTGTTTGCTTTTTAACTTAAATGCATCCTTATTTGTGTATATTATAGGTGCCATGTTTGAATGTAAACATGCAATTCAAATGAAAACACTAAGTGATTTCTTTACTTTTAGGAGTGTCGTACTTAATTTCGACAAACATTATTTCGACTTGACAGTACTTCGACTACACATTAATTCGACGGAACACTTCTTCGACAAAACACATGTTCGGCAGGTCACTACTCCGACAGAACATGAAATATTTAATATACATATTTGCTGTACTGAGAGACTACTTAGAGACCACTTCATTCTTGAGCGGGATATCGCATATACATAAATATATTTGTGAAATAATTAATAACTAGTTAAGCAGTTATTTGTCGATTTCATGTTCTGTCGGAATAGTGAACTGTTACAGTTGAATTCATGTGTTTTCGAAGTAGTTTTTTGTCGGTGTAATAACCTATCGAATGTTTGTGTTGTCGAAGTAATGTTCTATCGGACTAGTGACCTGTCGAACATATGTTTTGTCGAAGTAGTGTTCCGTCGAATTAATGTGTAGTCGAAGTACTGTCAAGTCGAAATAGTGTTTGTCGAAATTAAGTATGACACTCATTTTTAAACATGGAATCTTATAAATTATAAATATATAAGGAAGGATATAAATTTTAGTTAAAAATGAAAAAAATGGTAGTTTCACTTACAAAACTTACGTGGGAAGTATCGATGTATCCGATAATTATCGACGCTGATTCATAGTTTTGTATCTTTAATTTTTGACTAGATGTGATAAACAGCAAGAAAACAATTTGGTTTGTTTGGTTGATTTTTTTTGAAATTGATACGTTTGGATATATCTCTGATACAAATTTTATATCAGGGTAAGTTGCAGGTAGCATTTTGTTGTCCTAATTAATTTTATAATTATCAAGGTATATTTATTACAATATATATATCAGTAATAATTGTTACTTCGAACCCTGGTTTATACTATATGTATAGTTATATTAAGAAATTATATTATTAAGAGGGAGCAAAAAAGTTTTCACGTTGGCTCCGCCCAAATTTGTGAAACAAATATAAGCCTGAAGTTCGCGTGACATGCGACAGGAGATGTTGAATTTTGCGCATTAAAAGTACCAAATTCGTTTTAGCGGAATAACTCTAAAACTAAAGGGATTTAAAAAAATCCGTAGTGACAGTTCTCGATCAAGCATAAATATAATTAATTATCTAATTTTTGTCCTAATAACCTGTAGAATTTCGAGGATGAATCGAAAAAATGTGAAAATTAGAGGTCATTTCGGGATTTTTATCTATCGAGGAAACTTTATTGTTTTTTGTTTCTGATTAGTGTCTATGCTTGAATATATCGTGTAGTTACTCATACAATATTTTATTTTTAACTTTAAAGCGGATATATCTTTTGGAATTTTTCCTCCGCTCCCTCTTAAGAATTAAGAAATTCGTTAATAAAGGAACCATTAAATCGTACTTCTTTAAGTTCGTCAAAGTGCCTAAGATTATGTGATTGAATTTTGAAAATTGAAAATTGAAAATATTATAACTTAGTATAACACTTTTATTATGCTTTTAAGTCTTGCCTATGTGTGGCAGTCTATTCTCAACGTTAATTGTAGGTACACAAAAGCTTCAGTGAATTACATGTAGCACTGTAAGAGAATGGTAATGATTTTAGATAATAATGATGGTGAATTACAAGATTTTTTAATGAAATTCTTGCACCATAAATTCACATCAGCGGTCTGAGTGACGCTTATAAAACCATAATGTGAAGACGCCCTAAGTGTGGTGACTGCTTTATACGGTTTTGGTAAACTGTGATTCATCCAGTGCATATGTGCCATTAGAAATGCTAAACAATTGCTATCATAATTAAATATCTAAAGAGGGTTCTTCATAAAATACTAACAATCCGTCGTCATAAACAACCATTTTAGTTTTACGATATACGACTTTTGACAAAACATAATAAATTTATATTTAATTGACATTCAATTATTTTTATGTGAAATTAATCCACTGGTTTGTTATAATTGTTAATGCAAAGATCGAACACTCAGAAAAAAATATTTATATACGACTAAAAAGTAGTTGAAAAACCAAATACAAAGATACGACTCAAGCACTTTTTCTGAGTGTTCGGATCTTTGTATTAATGATTATAAAAAACATAATAAATTTACCAAAAATAAACTAAGGTTTTGTTGTACTATCTGACATTTTTTATATCAGTGGTCTACTTCCTTTCTCTGTCCGACATCCGTCCGAAACAATTACTCTCAAATAAGTAATACCCGACCAAATTATAAGGAAATGTGAAGTATGAAGCTTCATTCGCATCATGCGTCTTCTATTTTTGAACGAGTATTATTTATTTGACAGTAATTGCTTCGGACAGATGTCGGACGAAGAACGGGGTTAGACCACATGTGTATTCGGTAGCAAATTCAAACGTCACACGTCTGACGATCCCTATCCTGTTCCTGCTTTTTGCGTCGGACTAGTATTTATTTTTTGTTAGCGCGCACAATTATCACGTTTAGGGCGATCTGTTTAAATATATATTGTACGAAAGTAAAGTCTGATGCAACACAAAACATGTTGTTTATGATATTAAGTAATATAGTTCTGCGTGGTTATTAGTATATTACAAACAACCCAGTATATTCTTTGTTGTGTTGTAAAATGTGATATGATAAGGTTTTATTAGTTCGTTCGTATGTTGAATAAAACTTAACGAAACTTTGGAGAAGAAAGATCAAAGCCTAGAGATACAAAGGAAAAGTGAAAAACACAAATTTAGAAACGCTTTATTATTTTTTTTTCTTATTTCTATTACCAATTAAATTCGCTTTTATCTTTCCCGAAGTATCGATAAGTTCCGATTGTGATATCAACAAAGACGTTACGTAAGAACATTATAAATGGTGTAAATGAATAAAAAATAAATATTACAAAGCTGTTGTGCTTTCTTATTCTACTCCCTATTAATAACGTATGTTTTATAGTCTTACTAGTAACATAGATGCCTTGAGCCAGGGAACGCTCAAGGGTTCTGTGGGACTAACCCTCCACGTGGAGGGCATACCCACTAAAAGGTGTTAACAGGTGTTGTGGGCGCTATAGGATTCCGCAGATTCACCACTACGACGCCCACCACCACCCTGGTTTCCACTAGTATTCCCGTGCTAGAGAGGGCAGTGCCGACTCGCCTGAACCATCCCGCTAGCCGGGTGAGACCGTGCAATGCGGGCAGGATTTCCCGCTAGTCTCAGAGTTATTATATGACTCGAATTATGTAGGTATTTGGGATTACGATAATAATTATATAATAAGTATAATAATGCCTAACCCATGCGCCATTCATTTATCAATAAAATTGATCGAAATATTGTTACGACCGTGTGATACAACAAATAATCCGTGTTAGAGATAGTGATTATTAAATCTTTATTAAGTCCTTAATCACGATATACAAAGTGCGCAAACTGCGTCAAAAATTGTAAGAATTTGATAAATCTGACATCGACAATGTGACTGTGGGCGCCTTCAAATTGGACGCTTGTAGAATCACTGCAGTGGCGCGGTAGCGTCGTAGTCTTCAGTTAGGTCACTAATTTAAAATAGAACAAAAATTTTTTGCATATCTAATAAGGAGCAATAGGTAATTGCGACTTGCAAGACTCCAGAGACCAAGACCAAGGCTGGTCTTGGTTAGTCTCATTTTGGTCTTGCATTGGGCAACACTATTTCTTTTGATCATAATAAGTAGCCCTACCCATGGTGTAAAAAGCCACGTGTGATCATTACGTCAAAAGATCTTTAATCACATGAAAGACATAAAAATTACACGTTATAAAGCGCCACGTTGTAAAAAAAACACTTAAACAACATCTTTTACTCTATAACTTACCATACTGACATCTGTGGGGCTATGGCGTATGCAAAACGATCTCATTCAGTGAAAGCCTCAGTCGAGGCTGAGCTGTGGTGACGCTGGTTTTCAATAAAAACGGATGGAAATTATGAATGCAAAAGTGGCGCACGCCTGTTACGTAAGTTAGCAGTAGAACTCCTTGTGAAAGAGTTCGCTCAGGGAAGTACTGCCACCTTACCTACTTCTGCCACCAAGCAGTATATTGTGGGCATTACTGCGTTCCGGTTTAGTAGTGTAAGGGTGCTGGTGAAATTACGGTACATGGGACTTGTCAACATATATTTCAGGGTAACGGGCGATCTTTGTAATTTAATGCTCTGAGTGGCACTGCATCAGTTCAACGGTCATGCGTGTCGCTCACCACTACGTAAACAACTTGTTGGTGCGCTTACTACTAGGTAAACAACACAATGGTGCCACTGCAGCATTTCTATAAGCGTCTAATTTGAAGGCCCTCTAGGTGTGGTGACTGCTTTAAACGGTTTTGGTAAACTGTGATTCGTCCAGTGCAAATGTGCCATTAGAAATGCACTCACAATTAATAGCTTTTGTATATTTATAAAACTATACTTAGCGCAAGCCGTTTGCGAACCGCGAATTGCTTATAAGTAATATAATTACGTTATAATAATGACAAAACAAAAATTATAATATTATAATAGTGTAGTTTGTGTCGCTTCCGTGAAGAATTTTACAGATTTTCTCGCGCAGTCGACGTCCACACACAGACTCCGCCTGTTTTATATTAATTGCCATAATAATACCAATGAAGAATGACACTCTATCGCCGCAGACCGGCCTCGTCCATTTTTTGCTATGCATACCGATGCACCGTCTGCGTTACAACAGACGAAGAGGCTCGTCTATTGTGTGGTTGTCGGTCGTCTTAAGGGAGCCGTTTTTAGAGCATTTTCTGACCCAAAGTTAAGTCATAACTGACGGGTAGACTTGATATCGTGGGAATCAGTACGAACCCTATATGTTTTACTCAAGCAGATAGACATAAACATTCAGTGTTTTAAAATGTATGTGAAGAACAAAACTCGCACAGTTTTTTATGAATATCGATTGTTATTGATACTTAAACAATGTTCACATTGTAATTTTCAAGTTTTTATTGAATTTCACAATGTTTCACCATGATATTCAACTATTTTTAGTGAAATTATCCCTCTTTTTTGTTATATTCATTAACAAAGATCGAATACTAAGTAAAAATTCCTCCATCTTGCAATCCGCGCAAGGCACTACACCAACTAAGCTACAGAACGAAGTAACGGACCTTATGAATTTTTCTGCAACAAACACATAGAAAAATTAAATAGTATGAAAAATATGATCGAATTCATATTGTTTCAGTCTTATCCTTGATTATCTGTAACCTTCCTTGTTGTTGATAATAATAACTATTACGACATGATAATTTATAATTTTTCCGAAAGCCATTGTAGTGATATGCTGTGAACTCATTGTTGCTGTGCAATTTTTGAACGATGTAAGTGTTAACTGCTGAATAATTTATTTACAAGTATCAGATTTACTATAATTAATTGCATTATTCATGTGTGATTTAGCTGGTAACTTTCAGTTTTCTGTACTACCTACCTAATTTCGGTGGCAATTTTTATTATTTCAATATTGTAGAAATTTATCATGAAGTCATTTTGCGATAATATGCTCGAATACCTAAATAATAAAAATTGCCACTGTGTAGTTCTCGATTTTCGTGTGGTTTGGAAGGGAAAATACTCAATATTTTAGTTTATATTTAATTTATTAAGCCAACGCATAGTTGCGCCATTAGTGGTCCGAACATTAAAGAGAGAGAACTAGAGTTAAACTTACATAGTTTATAATAAAATACCAATGTCGCCAACAGCCATCGAAATTAGGTAGTGAAAACTAATATGAAAATAAGCCTTCTAATTAAAATATCTCTGATTTTAGGAAAGCATTTTCTTTTCTCTTGTATAAATATACATATACTTTAGCTGGACAAAAATTTATACAGGAACGCAAAACTTACCTCCACCACCACTCCAAATTGAATGAAAAAAATGACAAGCGACAATTTTTTATTGTCAAATTAGATTTAAAATGAAGAAGTAAATTAACGGACCCGAAATTTATAAAAACACTGCATTATTCTGGGATTTTACTAGTGTTCCGTTAATAGTACTAATTTGAGTATTTAGTAGGTACCTGTCTGAATTATTCCCTTCGATGTGGACGTATATTATGCTTGCAATAAATATTCATTAAAAATATGATACAAAATTCAAATTCTATTTACTACTTACTTTATTACTGTCCATGGAAGCTAGGGAGACAGCTAGTGTGGGATGCAGACTGTGTGGACACTATGGCACACCCCGGACACTCCATACAACGGTCGAAAATTATTTACCTACTACTACTACATACAGCAAAGGAAATTTTATTTTATTTCAAAGCTCGAGGAAATTTTCTATTTATAAACTTTCTTAATTTTTTAAGTATCTACCTGCTACTATAATATAGAACAATGATTTAGTAGTCTTTTAAACAAGTAATTTCATTATGTACAAAATAAAAATAATACTTACCGATATGTACTTATTCTAAAGGGCGGATCAAACGTTAGGGAGAAAGATCTACGACGGGGCGATAGTGGCTTTGGAGGTTATGGTTCTGGATTTGAAGATGATGTTCAGTCTCATCAAAGCTATCTTTGAATTCTTCGTCCCACCGAAACTGAAGAGCGTTGAGAATGAGATTATACTTGTAAGTGGTTTTTAAAAATTAATAGTACTTACTTATTTGTCAGATATTTAAAAAAGTCTGGACTGTTTGCAATAAAGGCTGCTTTAAAAGCTACTGCGACGTAGTTGAGTAATTTTTTTATTAGAAGTCCTATAGCACGTAATTCTGGCGAAAGTCTCCTGTAGCATCCTGAGAGGTATATGATCTTCTTGATCGCAGTCAGGCCGACTTCTTATGTAAGATGTAGATTTTTGTAGATTTCCTACAATTGTTCAGAACGTGTGATGTAGCTATCACATCAATTTGTTATCCAGAAACCCTTTTGGGTTGTGCCCAATCTTCCTTCTAGTTTAGAAATCAATACTTTTTGTATTGTACCCAGCTATGGACTGTTTTGGGTATGATTTACTTATTAAATGTTATGTTATACTGACAACGTAACTTTGAGCTGCCCATACGACACAACATTAACTTTTTCTTTTATTTGATTTGAAATAATTTCCTCTAGGACTTTCACTGCACTTTTCTTTCAACTTCTTTTGTTTCTACGAAACTGTTGAGTCGTATCAAATGCCCAAACATAAAGATATTCCAATGTCCCCCTCCAGTTCTTTTTTGTATTTAATAAGCTTCTCTAGGCTTGCTTTACGAATACGGATTAATTTTGTCTTTCATCCCTTCAACTCACCCTTTCGTCCTGTGGCGCACACAAACATAAACTCATTATGTTGTTGTACAATAAGTATAAACCAGATGGCGGTTACGTGTTCAAGCATCTCTAGTTCATGTTCGTTCTTTCGTTGGTTACGCCTTCACGTCTAAAGGCGTAACGCACACAGAAGATAATCTAATGGCAAATAAATATACGTATCTATAACCGGCTACTTTTCCAGATCACAGGCACTGGCCACGGTATGGGACGGGAGGTGGCACTGCGTCTAGGCAGACTGGGAGGCAAAGTAATCTGCGTTGATATCAACAAAAAGGGAAATCAGGAGACGGTCGACCTAATCCGGAAGGAATCTGGCAAGGCTTATAGATACGAGTAAGAAACGAATAAACGGCTACAGGCAGAGAAGTTCAATGTTAACTCGCGCATTTATTTATTTATTTATTTATTTATAAAGACACAATGTAGGTAAACTTACAGTAACAACCAAAACGCTTAATGCTAATTTCTTATATTACGTACATATTTGATACGCGAAGTTTGCGTTATAAATTACTTTGCTAATGCTGTCGCAAAAGATGTCGGCATCCTGGACCTTAGCGACTAGACAATTAAGCAATGTGAGACTACGTTTCGTGGGCGTGTTGTCAGCGTCGTCGGCCTGTACATACGTACCTGTTTGGCACAAACAGATCGACGTTGCCCGGTGTTTCGGGATTGTCCACCTTCCTCGCAGGAGAAATACCTAATGGAGTACGGTTCGAACTTTACGTCTTACGTCAAGACCGACCATTCCGTAGACAAATAAGGAAGGAAAGACCAGCGGATAGTAACCATACATTCTCTTGTATAAGTACCGGGCGAATTTGCGTTTCATTACTAGAATCATCTTCTTTTACAAATATCATGAATTTTGTATCTTATGTTAGTAATTCGTATGGTACCAACCTAACTATCTACCAAATGTTTCTCCTTGTAATAACTTGGTAATGTGACTGTATAATAAAATAAATATGCTTCGAATTATCCAGATGTGACGTAACGAACCGAGAAGCCGTTCTGGAGTTGAAAGAAAAGGTCTGCCGTGAAGTGGGAGAAGTGACGATGCTAATTAACAATGCGGGCATCATGCCCTGTAAACCCTTCCTAGCCCACAACGCAGCAGAAATACGAGCCGTATTTGAACTTAACATCATAGCACATCACTGGGTAAGTGTAACAATTAATAAATTTATCAGACAACTTCGCTGTACTTTTGTTTCGGGTCTAGAAGTGTGGGTTGGTTGGGCGAATTTATAAACGTTTCCTAAATTGGTCATGAAAGCGCCTGGTATGAAAGTGGCATACGTCCCTTAGACCTTCAGAACTAAATTAAGGCAGTTTTAGAAGATATTATACGGACGTCATAAACATCGAGCAGTGGGACAGTATAGGCTCATAATAATAATCATGAATGACCAATACATAGCTATTATATTTTATGCCTGAAAATAGCATCCAAATATGTAATAATTAATACTTTAGTAACATTGAAAGCAATATTGTAGGACAAAAATTTAATGTGGATTTCACCACTTGAGGTGGACGAACCATTCTTCTTACAAGTGAACCGTACCCAACACTATGTGAATGTGATGTGTAACTAAATATGATGAGTCCCGTATATTGGAGTGGTCACTTGAAATTTTTTTAAAGGGTTGTTGGATAGCGCAATAGAATAATAGGGTGGAAATTGCGATACGGTACCTTTGACCCCGGTCTTCGGTAGATTATTAACGACTGACGACTTTAACCTATTGAGGGATTTCCTCCAGTCTTGTTCATGTGTATACCTACGGGTGATGAAACATTCTACAAATGAGTTACATACAGCGTTAAAAAAGAAATTTACATCGGAAACTTTTTCATTTCAGACATGCCAAGCATTCTTGCCGAGTATGATGGAACGTAACCACGGTCATATTGTAGCCATGTCGTCGATGGCAGGATTGTTGGGTCTGCGGAACCTGGTACCTTACTGCGCCACCAAGTACGGTGTACGAGGGTTCATGGAGTCCCTGTCTGAGGAACTTAGAGAGCATCCAAAAGATTACAGTGGGGTGCGTAAGAACTTCATTTCTGATTGTGTGCTAGAAAGACGTCCGGAAGAATGGAAAAAGTCGTATAATCGAAAACAAATTTAGACCAATTCAATCAAAGAAACTTTTGTTTTCAAAACATTTGTCTGTGCCTTTTTGCAGATCAAATTCACCACAATTTTTCCTTATATAGTCGACACGGGTTTGTGCAAGAACCCTAAAGTGAAGTTCACGAATCTGATGAAGATTGTGAGCCCCCAAGAGGCTGCTGACCAGATTGTCGATTCTATTAGACGGAATTACTTCTCTAACACTATTCCCAAGTCGATGCATTACAATATCATGGTAAGTTATATATATAGAAATTAAGGTCTCGGCATATTTTCTGCTATTACTGTTCACTGATGCGTAGAGAATAGATTATTGTTTTACCGCGAAACTGAATTTTATGAAAGAACTAGGACTTAACAACCAGTCTTCTGGTTTCTTTTGAGCTGGCTCACAATAGAATTCAAAATTAAACTGAAATGTCTAAATTATTTTACATCGTTTGTAGTAATTACCAAAAAAAATTTTTTTTAGGCGTAAAATATTTATATAACGTCGTAATAAATCGGTTTTTATTCGTTTCAATTTGATAACCAAAATGAGTGGCGACATTCTGCTGCCAAAGCTCCCTCCGGTCAATCGCGGTCTAATGTTAGTAGACCTAATTTTCGTGGCAATTTTTATTATTTAAATATTCAAGTATATTTTCGTGTATTTAATTATTGAATATTAATTCACGATACAGTACTCGAATATTAAATAATATTACACGAAAAAAAATCGAACACTTAAATAATAAAAATTGCCACGGAAATTAGGTAGTGAACACTAGTCCGAGATTGACAGCCTCATGAATTAGGTGACAGTGGCCGGGCGGTATTTGGCTGAGATTTTGCGAATTTATCACTATAAGCGTGCGCTTTTATTACTTCTGTAATTTATTACGAAGCAGTGCTTATGTAGTCTGTGGCCTGCTATAGATAGTAACCACCACAGATGATACTGAAATTTTCTTTCTTGCAGATGGCCAACGCCCTGCCGCGAGACGTTGGTCTCCATGCGAAAGATTTCGTCGACTCGGGTCTTGATCCTCACCCGTACTAACTTTTTTATATAAAAATAATAATATAGAAACGCCTTATCGTCCCTATTATAACGAATGGACGTGAATTATAGTTTCGTAAGTAATTTTTTGTTGAAAATTTCATGCGACGACTCCTCATAAAATTTGACTATTTGCTGTTTTTGCTTCTTTTTTAAGCAAAAATATTATTTTTCAAATGATTTATGATCTTGCCGCAATGGAATTCTAAAATTTGACTTATAGAAAATTATAATTGTTCAAATATAAAAGAGTCATAACAAACAAACATCATCCATACATATTAGGAGCGATATTCGCAAGGAATCAGAAAGAAAATATATGCCGTTCTTACAGTACTACTCTAGAAACTAATATATAATATAGAATAAAATGCCAAAATAGTAAATTACGTTCATGATAATAATGAATGAATGAAAGAATGAAAGAATTTATTTCAGACTACATGTCCATATAATGTTAGTAGGAACTTAAATAACTATGTTAGTAGAATGCAAAATTTTCATTTTCGTTTACATGAACGGACCAATGTTTATATTTACATCCAATAATAGTCAGTTCGTTGATAAACGGGATGATATAGCATATATATTTTATCCTGTAATAATAGATTAAGTTTGGAAATAAATATACTTACAAATAAAACTTATCTGCGTTTTTATTTTTAAGTATTGAATGTATATAAACATGAAATGAAATAACTTAACAATTTATTTTATTTGTTGAACGTTTTGTATTTTCGTTTTATAATTATTCCGCCACTCACGTACATAAAGCTGCTAACGAATTGACTGCATGTATACATTTAATGCGTGAAATCGTAATCAACTTCATGCATGACGCCAATGATATTATACTTCATGACGTGAAGACATGAAGATGATAACGACTTCACGCATCAACTGCATCCATTCGAAACTCGACTAAAGTCTCAGGGTCGTATTCCAGAACTCTACTCAATACTCAAGTCAGGACTTGAGTATTGCAGTGAGCACTGAAAATCATACACAAGTCCTTGCCATTAGGTTTGTATTTCCAGTGCTTGTGTTTCTATTGCAATCCTGACTTGAGCATTGAGTAGAGTTCTAGAATACGACCCTCAAACTTCAACCGTCTATGTGAACGATAGTCCGAGAATCAAAAGTGGTAATTGACATTCTTACGAGGATATATTATTATTTTTTGCGTCTGAAACAACTTTTTTTAGTAACGGCAAAGGGTAGGTAACGATTATTTGATGGTCTAATCAACATAATCAACATAATGGTAAAACAAAACACGATTGGTGAAACGTCTCTCTACTGATTTATTTTTCACTGATTGCCTTTTAAGTTAATAATAAATAAAAATAAATTAAATTGCCGAATGCCGAATAACTTTGATTTCATTCGGTCCCTGCTTCCATTTCGACGTCAACTTATACACTGAGCTTCTGAGCTAAGCGCGCGGCGATAACAGCCTGCTCTTAATGTCGACTATATACAGTCGGTTTCGTCTGCATGGCTTAGTAGGAGCAGCCTAATAAGCGTTAATCATCGCCTTTTTGAAAGTTTTTTACTTCATTTCATCACTATCACCACCATGAACATACCTTCAGTCTCATCCAAAGCGGTGCCACACGGGCGCTCTCGGAGCTTTGCGTTGTCACAACGCATAATTTCAACTCACCGAGTGCCCCACGACCAATGCGGTCACAACGTAACAACGGTTACCTATGAGCATTTACACCGGGTTGTCTGCTGTCTTCGTCAGGCTAAAACATTTTTATGTTGTAAACGTTTTATTTGAAACAAAACACTCTTTCATTCAATTTTTTCCAAGTTTTTCCGATTAATCGGGTCTTCCACACGCCTCAGTCCAAAGCTTGCATCTGAAAATAATAATAAGCAGTTTGATTTTAGTCGTGAGACGCGTCGTGAAGGTCATTTTACTTTTAAAAAATATTAGCAAAAATATAATTTCGTTACCTAAAACTTCAAACAAAATAAAATTATTTGATTCACCTTTCTTCTGTATGTGGAAACTGATGAAATTTAAGATTTTTATATACGCGAGATGATGATATGCAGTATGTAACAGCACATGTAGTATGTATAATTTTCCATCCGACAAATCACCACAACAGTCACACGATATATTTAACGTAAATGTCGCAACCTTGAATGGTTTGTCCCGAACGAGCACATGGCAGTTTGGGTTCGCACCCGCCCCTCTCTCGCCCGGTACACGACGATTACTCTATCTAGACGTGTCCGTTGTAGGAAATAATCATTACCTGTAGGAATTGATTATTGGCTAGATTGTGCTGCTGCTATATAGGTAGTTATTTCATTCTTTCAGTTCACAGACGCAACGCGAGGCGTTGCAAAACGAGATAATTAGTAGAAGTTCGAGTGATATGAACATTCAGAGCCTTAAAATTTATGTGAACAACAAAACTCACACAGTTTTTTATGCATAACGACGGTTGATACTTAAACAATGTTCACATTGTTTCAATCTTATCATTGATTATCTCTAAATACCTTCGACTTGTTGATAATAATTATGACATTATAATTTATAATTTTTCCGAAAGTCATTGTAGTGATATGCGGTGAACTGATTGTTGTTGTGCAATTTTTGAATAATGTAAGTATTTTTTTAAAATACACAATTGTTATAAATGAACTGCTTCAATAAATTATTTTGTAAGTGTCAGATTTACTATAATTGTATAAAAATTGCCACCGAAATTAGGTAAAACTGACCTGAAAATTACGCCGCTACGACTACGTGAGTTTGTACAACCCTCTGGGTTATACCCAATTTTTCCTCTCATTTACGAAAGAATACTTTTTGTACTGTATCCAGCAATAAGGTGCTTTGGGTATGATTACAATTTATTTGTTCAATATTATCTTATTAGAACAGTTATAAGCTAAAATCTCACACTGTGGACTTTGAACCGTTTTTATACTAAGCGACATAGAGTTCAATTTAATTTTTAAGTTACATGTGGGTTATTTATTTCAATTTAAACGATCTAAGGTATTATTACAATAAAAGCTTAAATACTAGAAACTAAAACTAGACTTAAATTAAATGAATAAAATGGAGTCCCCATGGCAAGTTGCCCATGACGCTGGGCAACGTTCCCTCTATGTATAGCTATGTTAATACATAGGGCAAGGAAGCTGCCGGCCCTTGGGTTTCCCAAACAGGTACGACGTGCGCTTGGCTGTAATTTTATTTAGTTTTGTTTTCAAAAAAGAAAATATAAAAACGATAAATGTTGCCGTTCGACAAGACGCCTGTGCACGATGCCCAAAGGTACAGCCTTCAACAAAATGTTCTAATTCAAATTCGTCTGATTATAGGAAGCATTTTCATTTCCTCCTGTAAACATACACATACCAGCACTTTAGCGGAACAAAAAATTTATACAAGAATGCAAAATGTACCTGAAACCAAAATCAATTAAAACATTGACAGTCGATCAATTTTTTATTGTCAAATTAGATCTAAAATAGAAAAGTAAATTAACCGACCAGAAATTTGTAATAACACTGCATTATTTTGGAAAATTTTCTGTTTAATTCTATGTAAATATGCTATATAGGTATTATTTGTTATTTTTGTTTCAATAATAAAAGAAAATATGTAATGCAAAATATAAGTTTTATTTACTACCAAAAAATCTTCTGAAGGGCGGACCAAACGTTAGGGAGAAAGATCTACGACGGCGCGATGGTGGTTTTGGAAGTAATTATTCTGGATTTGAAGATGATGTTCAGTCTCATCAAAGCCATCTTCGAAGTCTTCGTCCTACCGAAACTGAAGAGCGTCGAGAATGAGATTATACTTGTAAGTGGTTTTAAAAAAATACTTAATTATTTGCCATACAGATAGATTAAAAAAAATTCGGAACTGTTTCCAAGATAGGGTGCTTGAAAGCTAACGGCAAAGTGGTTGAGTCATTTTCAAGTTCTATCAGCCTTTTTTATGAGAACCAGTCTCTCCTATAGCACGTAATTCTGGCGAAAGTCTCCAGTAGCATCCTGAAGGTCCATGAACTTTTTGACCACTTCAGGTTCACTTCTTGTTTAGAGCTAGGTTCTTGTCGGTGAAGTAATCCCCAAATTTCAATGTCAGATTGACTAACACTATGTAACAATTTTCAAAAAGGTTCTAATTTTTGGTTAGACGTCATTGGTTTCTGTTTAATTGAGCACCATGTATGTGGAAAAGGGTAGCTGTACCCCTGTAACTTCTGGATCTGCTGAAAATCAGCGTCGTAGCACTTTAAGTGAGAAGACAACATGTTGAGTGGGTCATGCTTTCCTTGGCAGCACAGCACACACGCTTTGTACTCTAACTATATGTATATGTATTTAGTTCCAAATCCTTGTTACTATTATTATCATTAATATTATCATTATTATTATCATTGTTATCAGTATTATTATAAAACTGTGATGATTATTCAAGGAATAAATTATTTCTATTTTTATAATAATAATAAATTAATTAATCTTTCAGGCCTTGGGAGAGGCAAGAGTCTAAAATAGATATAATAATAATAAAGCCTATTTACATACCAGGTATTTACGTAATTTCGTAAATCTACACATTTCTAGATTCTTTGTCATCAATTTGTGGAATTTCGGTTTAAATATATACTATTGATTTGAAATATAATGTTCACTGTTTTTATATAATGAGAAACCCGAAAATTTCTACGTTTTCTTAATGACACGCCCACTTTTCGTTGTCTTGACCACAAAAGCTATGTTTTGTACCGGGAAATAGTCTTTTCATGTTTTTTGTTACTTTTCCAATATCAATTAGAAAATGATATTGATGACCAAGATACAAAAATCGTGTTACATGGTGTAATTGCATGAAAAGTATGATGTAGCCATGATGTCAATTTGTAACCCTTTGGGTTGTGCCTGACTTTCCTTTTCCTTAAGAATCAATACTTTTTGTACTGCACCCAACAACGAAGTGTTTTGGGAATTATACTACGTATACGTTTGTAACAGTTGTATTGCTGCTAAAAAAATGACCTGAATTTCCTATTATGACATGGTGTTGTTCAAAAAACGTATCAATAGGGCTTTCAAAGGCAACGCGTAGGCAGCTCATCTGTTGTTGCAGATGTCCATGGGCGACGATGACCAGCTCCCAACACGTGGCTCATCTGCTCGTTTGCCTCTTTATTTACATAAAAAAACCCCTGATACGAAAAAGCTCCTGATACGACACAACATTAACTTAATTCCTTTTTTGATTGAAATAACTTCGTCTAGGTCTATCCCTGTCTCTCTCTTCTCCATGATCTTTCCAAAATGCTTCTAAGAAACTATCGAGTCGTATCAGATACCCAATCATTTGTATTTAATAAGCTTCTCTAGTCTTACTCTACGGGTACGGATTAACTTCGTATTTCGTCGCCTTCCACTAATCCTTTCGTCTGATGGCGCACTCAAAGCCGTTAATAGCCAACTCCTAAATATCAATAAATAAAAAATAAGGTAGGCAATACCATACATCATCTTTTGACTATTGACTATAACCATAAATTCCTAATTTAGAGAAATGTTTAGTGTATCCATTGACTTACAAATAAATGGACGACGGGTCTAATACAAAAATCACGAAAAAATGTCCCAAGTCAATCTATTCGAAATTTAAATTGTAATGTCATCGCAGTATCGCGCTGTCCGTAGAACAAATGAAGACTAAAGCGGAGTGTCGCGCTCTGTATACGATTTTAACGCCTTACAAGTGCGGACACTTTTTAGCGCGGACCCGACGTCCATATAATTGTAAGTCAATGAGTGTATCTTATATATTATTATAGTTCTTGACAGATTTTAACTGACTTTTATAATGAAACCTCCTGGGATTCGTTTGTTTTATTTTACAATATAAAGCAAATCAGGTTACGCGTTCAAGCGTCTCTAGTTCATTTTCGTTCTTTCATTGTATTATCATAAAGGAGGCAATCTTGTGGCAAATAAATGAATGTATGGGATTCCTTTCGTTGGAATAAATGTGTAACCAACTTCTGTTTTCGGAATCCATAAATGGCTACTTTTCCAGATCACAGGCACTGGCCACGGTATGGGACGCGAGGTGGCACTGCGTCTAGGCAGACTGGGAGGCAAAGTAATCTGCGTTGATATCAACAAAAAGGGAAATCAGGAGACGGTCGACCTAATCCGGAAGGAGTCTGGCAAGGCTTATAGATACGAGTAAGAAACGCATGCGTTGAAGCTTAATTTTGTAGAATCATTTCCTTCTAAAAATATCATGAATTTTGTATTGTATCAGCTTTCATTCAGCCTGTCTATTGATCATCTCGTCGTCGTGTTAAAATAAATTCCATCCCGTTCAACAAGTCGTCGCATGTATCATTATCTACGTGGATACTGGTTTTCAGATCTCTAAGTACTGTAAAAATGGTGTTGTAACACTAACATATAGTTCCATTGTGCACTGCTGGATGGCGTTAGTTGTACTTTGAAACGAACTAACGTTTTGGTAACTTAATTTGCACATTTTGTATGATCAATTTACCACTGATAGCGCTACAAGGTAATGAACGCCTTAAGTTATTGCGACGTTTCGGTCTTTATTTCGCTACGTTCCACTTTGGCACTAAACGCTGCAGTTTCCACGCCTGGGAGGCAGTGTTGGGAAGTGTAGTTTCGAATAATTATCGTTTGTTACATTTGCATGAGTTGGCGAGAAAATATAAATGATTATCACTAATTATCTTTGATATAAAAAGCTTTACATTCATAATCTTAATTACACCAAAAACATCTTAGTGTTTTTTATACTTTAACTCGTAGGTAATTTTGTCTGCAGGAAATGTTAGTAAAAATAGTCAACCTTTTAATTTAAATTTCTTATAATAATAATAATAACGCACACACTCAATATAGCCCCGCACTAGGGAAACCCGTGTCATGGACACACACATAGACAAACACAAATTACACCCAAACTTACGAGAGACACAAATGTACCATACCATACAAATATTTCTCCGGGCCCGGGAATCGAACTTGGGACCTCTGGGTGGCAGTCGCCGGACCGGACATGTTAACCGTTCGGCCACGGAGGCAGTAAGACAGTATTGTGATCTAAACTCATTTTCTTCTTAATGTTGAGTTATCTTCGTTAATGTTGTCACTAGGAACACATTTTTTATCCACTTTTAAACAGCGTTTAAATAGATACGACTTTAATATGGCCCAAGGAGCACACTTTATACGCCTTAAAACTGTTATATCTATAAACAGTCTTAATATGGTATAGATTTAGATAATAGTTCTCTATAAATAGTTTTACAAAAAAGAAATTGTTCTTATAAACTTATTTCACTGTAGTGAAAATTTTAAAATCTTAATACCAAACAACTTAATTAAGTGTAATCTCTCTTAAGGTTTACTCCTATAGTCCTTATTTTAAGTTCATCTGTAGAACAACTGATTATTTTTAGTAAAATTGTTCTATACACATCCAGTAAAGTCTATTAATACTCTAAAAACTAGTGTTCTTAAGTTTATTCTAGATATATTTAATTTATAGACATTCTGTAGTGTTTGTACTTATGACGAACAAGTTATAGCGCGTCTTCAGTAGATTTTAATAAAAAAAATACTACAATTAGGGTTTTTACTCTATAGGACATTGTAAGAGTTCATGCAAAATGGATAAAGTAAAGAATATTAAGAGATCTGGTGGAGGTGGCGAACCTTGGATATTAAGTCACATATTCGATACAATCAGCGTTGTCGATGCCAATTGTTCAAAATCCCCCAAAATCACGATTAAAATCCCCAAATTTGGGGAGGTCAAAATTCATATTCCCCACAAATTACCCACATCTCGAGTTTTCATTATTTATTAGATATACATCGCTTAAAAATATAATAAAGAATTAAAACTCAAAATGTAATAATCTATTACGTTTGCTGTGAATGTAAACAGAATGTAAAATGTAAAACTACTTATAAAATTAGATGACCTTAAACCGTTTATTTATTTTAATTAGATTCAACATTAATCTGTAATCAGTCTTTGAAAAAAAAAAAACATTTTTCTTTGCCTTACAAAATTAAGTAAATTGATTATTTGTTGTTCACTTGGTAACACTATGTTAATGTTAGAAATAATCAATGAGTTTCGACCTATATTTAATATTTAAAGTTGACGAGTGGTAAGTTGTGGTGGAAGTACCAACTGCTCGGCTTTGTTTGTCAATAGCTGATTTTGTTTTGCTTTATACCGGGGACCGGCCTAAGCGTGAGAAAGAATCGCGAACCGACTGTAATTTTACAATTCAGAACCAAGTGCTCTAATAATAATTCTATTTAAGCTGCTTGTTAATAATACGAGGTATGTGCGATGTTGAAAAACACGTCGATATAGTCCATCACAGTGTTTCTAACAGTAACGATCACACTAGCGATGCATCAGCAATTGATAGATTAAACAAAATGATAAAATCTTAGAATCCCCACATTTTCCTCACATAGCGCCAATCGCCACAAAATCCCCAATCTAGTTGAAATTCCCCACAATTTGGGGAGTTCCTCACAAATTGGCAACGCTGGATACAATAGTCATAATTCGCGCGCAAGCCGGTTTTTGTTTGTTGACAAATAAATAAACATTGTGAAGTAATTCCGTGTTCTGAAATGATAAAAACAATTGAAATGAGCGCGTAAACTACTGTACTTCAATGTTGTGTATGTGTATTGTGCCGTCTATCAATAGAATACAGTGAAATCATTGTGTGAAATGTGGTTGGTGTGAAGAAATAATCTCAATTTTGTAATGAAAATTTTATTTCTTCCAACTAAGTTATGTCATTAAAATATTCCTTATATTTATATGATAGGGAATTTACCACTTTTCTAGTCATATATAACGCATTCCATATAATTGTACAGAATAACGTTTTTTGCGACAAATTGGATTTTTTAAATTGTTTCTTTGACGTAGTGTTTTGAAACAAAATTTTTTGCATAATACGCTCACTATTCCCTACAAATTTTATAAAGGTTTTGTAATACTGTCAAAAGACAAAATCGCTTAGAAACATCGCGTTTTGTAGATAATCACAAAAGCTTCCTAGTAGTGAATATTCTTCTACAAGATCAATTACACTAAAGCAAGTAAAAATTTTTCGGGTTCTAAAGTTTGTCTATAGATAAAGCTATAGACAAAATGCGTTGCACTGTTGGGAACAGTGTTTTGAAAAAAGCTTTAAATTCTTATCGCCATTTTTATTTTTAAAGAATGACTATGAAGTAGCCAAGCAAAATTTCTTTCCTTTTTAAAAAGTAAATCTAAGTTGAAATTAGCTTGAAGAAGTCTAGAACTTCTTAAAACTGGTTTGTTTTGTGAGTTATTATGTATATTTAAGCTTTCTATAAATATTTAAAGCCGAAAACCGATAACTATACTTTTATTAAGTTTATATTTTATACATAAATATTTAAAATTTAGCCAGCGCATTATTTTTATGACAGGTTTTACATCACTTTTCACAATGTATTTAAAGTTGCCCGTCAATTCGCGCTTTCTAACCGATTGCGCAAAAAAGTCAGAAATATTATATCTAATTTCGCCATGTTGCAATTTTGATAGTTTATATTTTGTAAGCCATTAAACTTGAAATCTATTAGTATTAAGAGAATTGCGTCTTATGTTTGTAACGCTTTAGTATTTTGGTTTTAAAATAGCATTACTAAGAAAACTATCATAGGCTATAAATTATCTAAATACTGTCTACAAGATTAAATAAAAACTGTCTACATTCTATAGATGGTCTTGTAGCATTCTAGAAGGGTTATTTGAAAAAAAAAAGATAGGAATCACTCTTAACATTACCTACAGATAGTTTTTCAAAGCACTCTTGTGATCTACTAATAAAGTTGTGCCCATTTTTACTTTAAATTATCTAGAAACCTTCTTCGAGATATATTGAGGGAATTTGAACTCTTAAAATATTCATTCGAATTAAATTCTATTAGATATCTTATAGTATATATTTAGATATGGGTGTGCTGCTTGGGGGATTTACTTTATGTTAAAAGAGCAAAAATCTATGCGTCAGTTTCCTAGCGAATAACGTTCCGTGTCTACTAAAATAACAAGACAATAATGATCTCTACAGTCGGCAGTCTAAGACTAGACTAGTATACTAGACTATATACAGAAATGTAATTAATTTTCATTGTACATAAATATTTTATTGAATAAATAGAAGAAGAATCCAATTTTACGTCGGTCAAGATTATCGTCGCCTAATTAATCAAAAATCTGTTGGTAATTTGAATGTGCCAACCAACTCTCTATCAAATATTTGTTCTTGTAACAACCACTTTGATAATGTGGCTTTATGACGAAATCAATCAATAAGCTACGAATTATCCAGATGTGACGTAACGAACCGAGAAGCCGTACTGGAGTTGAAAGAAAAAGTCTGCCGTGAAGTGGGAGAAGTGACGATGCTAATCAACAATGCGGGCATCATGCCCTGCAAGCCGTTCCTGGCCCACAGCGCAGCAGAAATACGAGCCGTATTTGAGCTTAACATCATAGCACATCACTGGGTAAGCCTTACAATTAATACATTTACCAGAGAATTACTTAACTTCTGTGTTCTTTTGGATAGGGCCTAGAGGTTTTGGTTGGTTGGTCCAATTTATAAACGTTATTAAATTGGTCATGAAAGCGCTCGGGTTAAAAGTGGCATATGTTACCCAGACATTCAGAACTAAACTAGAGGTAAACAAGATACAATATAAATATACTCGAAATATATCCGACGTGTATCATAAACATCGTGATTAAATGAGGCTATCAGCGCAAAAGTGGTTTGTAATGCATATTGAAGATGCATAATGAGGGATTCAAGTCAAATTAATTTTATATATAATAAAACTGAAAAAACCATCCAAGTATGTAATTGTACTTCAGTATCATTTAAAGAACAAAAATAAGACTTGGGTTTCGTCACTTTTATGCCGATTAACCTCAAATATTCGTTTGAAATCACGTTTGCTGACGATGAAGGAAAACACTTGAATGAAACCTGCATGGAGAAGGCTCACACTCCCTGGAAAACAATTTCAATTCAATTCAATTCCCACCATCATTCGGCAAGAGAGGCGGCCGAAACAATCTCCTTAGATGTGAGCCGTTCCCAGCATACGTGACTTATAATGGCTTGATGATGATGCTGAATGCAGATGTGTACGAAACTAAACAAAAAATAAATACAAAGTTAATTCATTTGTTTATTGACCTAGGCACCTTTACCTAAACATCGAAGCTACAAATAGAGGTGGTCATCTGAAAATCTTTATAAGCGTTGTTGGATATCACAAGGGTGTAGAATTGATCGAGTTCTTAGGTTTTCGCGATTGTTACACATAGGAAATGAAACTATTTTTCCGGATTTAAATCGCGTATATTTGTTTTTTTAAACAAACCGACGTTTCGGGCCCTTTACAGGTTCCATGGTCACGGTTGACACGGGTGTAGAATTTGTTAACTTTTTGATACCCTTGGACCCCGGTCTTCGATATACGATATACCGGCAATACCAAGGGCAAATGACCTTAGCTCATTGAGGGATTTCCTCCAGCTAGATTTACAGAGTCCGGTGTTGGAATATACATACATAAGCTCACGCCTTTGTACCACGGGAGGGGTAGGTAGAGACCACGAAACGCCACCGTACTCTGTCCTGACACAACTTTCGACCCTCACATTCATTAACTACCCTTTTCTTACAACTCCTTTTATTCTTATCACTTCCGATCCCAGCTTTTTTGAGGATATCACTGATCTGATCAATGTAAGTCCTTCTGCTCCCGTAGCATGGGTATGCTTGATAGTCGCGATGCGCGCGATAAAATTGAAAGCCATGCTACGGGGGCTGGTATTCTTAAAACTCTTCCATCCACATCCGCATCATAAATCTGTTTGGTAAATTTTCTTACATCCACCCGCTCTACAGCCCAAACCACCTAAACACAACTATAAGTTATTTATAACGGCATTATAGTTATAGTATTGGCTTAAAAAGTTTCTTGCAAAGTCATTCACTAAAGATGCCATAAAAGAACCATATCACTTGAACCGTCATTCATTAAAAGAACCATATCAAAATACATTTTTCGACTCACAGATTAAAGGTTAAATTTGTTTAACACCTTTCTTCACACCGCTCTACTCAGAACCAAATAGTCCCTACTGAACCGTGTACATCGGAAACTTTTTGTTTTCAGACATGCCAAGCATTCTTGCCGAGTATGATGGAGCGTAACCACGGTCACATTGTAGCAATGTCGTCGATGGCAGGAGTAATGGGTCTGCGGAACTTAGTACCTTACTGCGCCACCAAGTATGGTGTTCGAGGTTTCATGGAGTCCCTGTCTGAAGAACTTAGAGAGCATCCGAAGGATTACAGCGGGGTGAGTAAACATTTCATTTATTGTGCTAGAAACATGTGCACAAGGCGTAGAATCGAATAAATTTTAGACATATTGGACTTCCTATGAAAACGTTTGTTCTCTGCCATTTTACAGATCAAATTCACCACAATTTTTCCTTACATCGTGGACACGGGTTTGGCAAAGAACCCCAGGGTTAAGTTCACGAATCTCATGAAGATTGTGAGCCCTCAAGACGCTGCTGACCAGATTGTCGATTCTATTAGGAGGAACTACTTCTCTAACACCATTCCCAAGTCGATGCATTACAATGTCATGGTAAGTTACATACGTAGAAGTAAAGGTCATGGTAAGGCCCATGGTCTCGGCATATTACGTTCTGTTACTGCGGTTCACTGATGCGTAAACGTAGTATGAATCATAGATTATTGTTGTAGTACGCTCTGTAACAGAAGGGACTAAGGTTTTTTTTTATGTGTTGCTTGCCTCGGAAGTTATTGAGTGTCATGATCGACTTCGGACTAGGGACTAAACAGAAATCTCTAGATTATTTTGTGTCATTTGTAGCAATTACCGTTAGAAACCTTTTAATCGACTTCGAAATAAGGATATGGTTCTCAATTTGACTGTGGTTTTTTTTTGTGTGTGTGTGTGTGTGTGTGCGATGATTTTTTTTGTTGGAAAGGGAGTAAATCAAATTTGAATTTTTATTAGTGAAATATGTATAAAGTGTCGAAAGAAATTAATTCTTATAATTATTAATACAAAGATCGAACTCTCAGAAAAAATTCCTTCGATCCAGCCGGATTTGAACCGAAGTCTTCTAGCTTACCGTGCCAGACGCTATGCCAACTAAGCCACGGAACGAACCAGCGGACCTCACGAATTTTTCTATGTGCTTGCGTCGTGTCTTTGTATTTGGTTTTTTCAACGACTTTTTAGTCGAGAGATGTCGCTATTCGCTGTATTTTAAATTTTTGTTGAATTGATATTCAATTATTTTTTGTGAAATTGCTCCACTAGTTTGTTATAATTATTAATACAAAGATCGAGAGAGAAGTTTCTTTTTGGTAAATTTATCATGTTTTGTCAAAAGTCACAAAAGTTCTGGTTTATGTATTTTAAGAATAATCCTGTATAATGAATAATAACAATCATAGATGCCACCGTAAGTCTCAGTGATAGTGAAATTTTCTTCCTTGCAGATTGCCAGCGCCCTGCCTCGAAACGTTGGTCTCCTTGCGAAAGATTTCGTCGACACGGGTCTTGATCCTCATCCGTACTAACTTTTTTCTCTATAAAATAATAGTATAGAAATGTTTTATCGTCCGTATTACAACGAATGGACGTAAGTTACAGGTTTATTAAGTAATTTTTTATTTAATATTTAATGTTATGGCATGTCTAAAACAAACACCGTGTTTACATTTTTAGTCTTTTTGTGCAAAAATCATATCCTTGGTTTAATAAATCCGCATATTATTACGATCATGAGTCAAGTGCATTTATCAAACAAAAGTCATAAAAATAATACAAACTACATCTCATCATCCTCTAATTATAGCAATCAATTTGCAGACTTAATTTCGTTCGTAGAATCTCTAAACCTCTCTCCGGAAAGTTGACATTTTGCGGATGTGGCCTTATTACATCAAAGGGTACGAAAATATAACATTCTGGAAAATTAAAGACTGACCCATGCCGCAATGGAATTGTAATAGAAAACAATAGCTTTTGGACACTATATAGGTACTATATAGGTTATCCCACGGCTATGCCACACGGAGGGAACGTACATTAAATACAGTAAATAGAACATTTTACTGAAAAAAGTCTTCATTTTGATTTTAAAACAATTCGAACTGCATTTTAAGATTTTTAAATAATCGCCTGTCTGAACCGGGAATCGAAGCCACCAAATGTGAAAAACAAAAACACCTGTGATTTTATTATACTTATCGAAAGACTCAATCTTAAGGATTGTTTTTTTTTTTTCTAAATAACATAGCATCTTAAATAAAAGGAAGACCATTAAATTTAACATTTAATTCGATAGTTTGTTCAGAAAATTAATATAGCCTTTTCTCTGACTTTGCCGCGCTCATAACAAATGACATTATTATTTCAAAGCGAGCGATGTTCGAATAGATTTTCGCAAAGAATTGGCAAGGCAAATATAATGCCGTTCTTACAGCACTACTGAAAGTAATGTATACAATATTGAATAAAATTAATTATTAATGCACAATTTTCCTTCAAAATTGTAAATTATGTTCCCAATAAAGTCAGTTGGTAATAAACGGGACGATATAGCATCATATATTGTTTGTTTGGGTTTTTATGGATGAAATAAAATTAAACTATTTATTTCATTTGTTGAATGTTTTGTGTTTTCTTTTTTATGCTTATCCCGGTACTCAAACACGCATTTATCATAGTCTTTTTAAACGTCATTCGTCTTCGCATGCAACGTAACGCGGTTGACTTAGAGCGATGCCACACTGATTTCAACCCACCGAGGGCCACACGAATGAGCAATGCGGTGTCGCAAAGAAACACCCCTCTCTGTTTCAACGCACCATGTTCGAAGGATTCGTCCAAGGAAGTATAGCCATCTTACATATTTCTGCCGCCAAGCGGTAATGTGAGTTGCGTTCCGATTTTGAAGTGTAAGGATGCTGGTGAAATTATAGGCATAAGGGTCTTGTCAACTTATGTCTCGGTGTGACAGTGTCTCTCAGATCTTTGCGATTTAAACATCTGAGTGGCACTGCAAATGCTATGGACAGGCGTGTTGCTTACCACCAAACGCACGACTAGTTCTTCCCGTCACTTGGTAATACAAAATAATGTGACGTTTAGATCTAATTTATGTGTAGTACAACTCAGCGTCACCGCACGGTGAGACGTCGACGCGACGCGTCCTGTGGCATAGCTCTTAATATTTTTTACGCCGCTACAGCTGATGAATTGAACACGTTAAAATCGGCTTGGTGAAAATTTATTTTGTTTTAATAAAGTATCCGTTTCTCAGTTAATTATTTAGTATATTACAATATAAGAGTTCAGTACAATTAAAATGAATTTTGTTTTATAGTACATCATAGGCTTACTGACTATTTCTCCAGGTAGATGGCGCATCAATGTTGGTGTTGTTGAAGTCATAGGTGCTCCACAGTACATTACCCACTCAGTTTCAATTTAATGTGTGAAGAACATTGAAAATGAATACAAAAGTTTTTAGGCAATGTTTTAGTTATGTTTTTAACATTCTTACTGAACAGGACTCTGGTCGTGGTACTATATTGCCGCTGCTAGATTTCTCCCGTGCTTTCGACAGTATCAATATTTCTCTGCTTCTTGCAAATTTGACCTATTACGGCTTGAATGGTTCTGCAGTACAATGGTTTGAGAGTAACTTTTGTGCTCGATCGCAGGCTGTCAAATTGTCTGTAAGTGACGGCTCCAGTGTTGTCTCCGTTTTCTTCAAGTAAATCGTGGAGTGCCACGAGGTTCATAACTGGGACCACTACTGTTCGTCATTTACAGTGCTGATTTGCCTAGAGTTATAAAGCATTGTAGGTACCATTGTTATGCAAATGACGTTCAATTGTATATATTAGTGAATCCTAATAATGTATGCGAAGCGCAAACACGTATGAACAACGATCTTGAGAGAGTTGCTGAGTGGTCTGCTCGGAATTCATTTATTCTGAACCCGATGAAGTCCAAGTTTATTGTATTTGGTAGTAAAAAGCAAATCAGCAACATCGTAGACAGAGATCCACATATCGAGATCGCGGGTAGCGATGTGGCTCGAGTAACAGAGGCTAAAAATCTTGGCATTACACTTGATGGTCAATTACGTTTTGAAAGTCACGTACTAGATCAAGTAAGGAACTGCTTTTATCGTCTTAAAATTTTATACAAAATACGTAATTACGTATTTTGTATTCAAGTGAGCATGCTCGTATTACCATCTGCGAATCACTGATCCTTTCCAAACTTAATTAGGGAGATATAGTTTACAGTCCTCGTTTGTTGAGTAAAACCCAACACCTGATTCAACAAAATGCTTGTTGTCGATTTTGCTTCAAAATTCCATCTCGCAGCCATATCAGACAATATTTAAACAATGCAAACATGTTAAATATGGACTCGCGAAGACATCTACATCTCGCGTGTATGCTTGGCGTGATAAAGTTCCAAAAACCAAAGTACTTGTATGGAAAGGTAAAATCTCTACTTTTCACGACAAATTTTCTATTAGAACCGTGAAACCTCTGTTAGCGGGACAAATTCATCGCACTGTGGCCTTTACTGGAAGCTGCAAAGTGTTGGAATAATATTCCACCCCCGCTTAGACTCCTTAAAACTAAGTTTACGTTTGAAAAACATTTGAGGGAATTCATTTTTGAAAGGCAAAAACTGGGTATTCCTAATCGCTTTACGTAGCGGAGGCTTCTAGAATGAAGTCCCTTTACTTCATAGACATTTATTGCTTCATAGACATTTATGGCGTTCATCGCCATTAAGTACTGATTATTATTATTTTATTTTAATTATATCAATTATGAATTTGTATTACAATTTTTTCTGATTTAAAAAAAAATGTTTTTATAATCTATATAATACTCACGTGACACTAACACATATGCATACTACATTCACCTCACCATGTTTTTGCTTCTGATGCACCGCTACGCGCGACCATAGAAGGTGGCGGCTCAAAATCAGTGTCTTGCTGTTGGGCAAATTTTGCACTGAACCACGACCTATTTGGCTTGCTTTAGCACACACAAGCTGTTAATCATTAGATTAGTATTATGTTTTTTAACCGACTTCAAAAAAGGAGGAGGTTCTCAATTCGACTGTATGTTCTTTTTTCTTTTTTTTTTGTATGTATGTTACGCGATAACTCCGGTATTTGTGAACCGATTTTCATGATTCTTTTTTTGTTGGAAAGGGTACTTCCATAGTGGTCCCATTTGAAGCAAATCATCCACCTCGAAGGGTGGCTATTGCGCATGAAGATTCATTTTTATAAATAGCGCCTAACTTTTATTTAGGAGCAAGTACTTTAATGGTTGATTTTGCTATTTCTCCCATTCAAGGCGTTTTTCTCTCAATATACTTTGAGTAGTGTCGTAGTGAGAACCTATTTTTATTATCTCCAGTCTCAGTTGTATAGTGGCGAACTAGGGGATATTTCAATAAAACTTAGCAAATAGACGTAATTCCACGCACTTTTGAGGTCGGTTTTTTTAGTATTCTGTACTGAGATTATTTTTGTTTTTTTTTCTTTAATTTTGATTGCTGTGTGTCTTTTTAATCAATTTACTCTATTATATTGTTGTGTGTGATGTGATGCAGGACAATAAACGATTTATCTATCTATCTTTTAAACATCTGAACAATCAATACCTCGCCGGCGCCGATCACGATGCCCATCAGAGCAACCCATCAGAGTCGGCCGTTAAATAAAAGTAAAACAAAGTCATAGATTTTCAATCTATTTTATTACGAGTTAAGTAGGTATACACTTTTTGGATATAATAAAATGATGTGCTTAAATTTAGATCTTTTACATTTTCTAATACAAATTCCTAAACACCCATTTTTGGCTTAAGTTATTTTATATTTATTTGACAATTGTCTATAGTTATAGGGTAAGAGCCATATCAAAAAAGGATCTGAACCAACCGACCTGAAAAAAACCGACCAATCTAGGCGTTCTTTTCATTTTTTACAGCAAGTTTGAGTTAAAAATGTAATTTTTGTCAGAGCCTTAAAAATTTCCAAAAGTTGTAGAACAAATTTATTCGTATTTTAATCTCTCCAAAGAGAAATCAATATTTTAGCAACTAGTCAAGGAGCTTTTTCCCTTTCTAAAGAATAGGGTTTGAGCTCTTGCCGACCTTTTTTATATGGTACGTACCCTATAGTATAATTGTTTATATCCGATTATTGTAACTCCATGAAAATGTCCTTTAAATAATTGTATTTTTTTTCTACACTACAACACTATTTCTTTACCTAATAATCTTATGAAATGTATTTAATTTAATTACCGAATGTGCCCGAAGGCATATCATGTTTACAAAGATAACCAACTTGTTGGTTATTCTCATTTCGCCGTACACTGAACAACGGAAGATAAAAATTGGCAACATGTTGGTTCTTCTTATTACATACTACGCTGAATGGAAGATTAAATATATTTTTAATTTTCTGCACCACGTCAACTTTTTTGTCAGCAAGCCAAGTGAGATAAGTTGAAACAGTTTGGTGTATATGGAAGATAACATACATGTTAAAACTTATCATACAGTACCGTCATGTTGGAAGAATATGTAATTATAACATATAGAAATTATACAAAAAATATAGGTATAAATCTATACTAACACACGTAGATAAAATGTACACTATATAGACATTATTCTTTGGAGATATAATATTTCTGTATACTTTTTTATATATATTTGTAGTAAAATACATCTAACAACAAAGTACTTAGTACTCTCTAATTTACAAAGTAAATTCATATGGGTCTAACAGTGATGTTTTAAAAAATTAGAAACATGAAAAATATTAAATCATGAAAAATATATATCTTTTTAAAGCTATTCTCAATTAAGTGCTCTTACTATTTTATGCAAAAGCACTTAAATAATACGATGATTTTATTTAACAAACTCCATAATTAAATGTAACGGTATACTACATATATGTATATTATTCATGTTTATTAATATCAAATTTACATGTTTGATTTCATCAACTTATTGTTTATTTTAGTTGCCGTCTATATTTTTTCTTTATGTTCAACATGATACAACATGTTGGGTAACTCGTCGTGCGAATAATCAACATATTATTATTATTATTTATGTTTTTAGCTATTTCATTTTAATTATTATAATAATAATAATAACGCACACACTCAACATATTACATAAATTCAATTACTTGTTAGTAAATTACGAGTATAAGTACAACCTTGCTTCACTTAATAACTTCGTCATAATGTCATGAATAATATTTCTTCAGATCTCTCTATTTGCTGTTTTTGTCTTGTTGTTGTTGATTTGTGTTTATTTCAAGTGATTCCAAGACAAAAGAGAGAAAGTTCCATAATTTGGTTTTATTATCTATGCTGGGCGTTTCAGTTATATATAAATATTATCATCCAATGTTACCCAACAATAAAAAGTACAAGTGTAGAAGTGATATTTAAGTTATCAGTAAGTACTGAGGTTTCCACACGCTAAAGTACCTATTTACAATTTATTTATATAATGACGCCAATTCCGCACATTCTATTAAACTTAAATTTATTTGACAGGTCTAAGGGTCGTATTCTAGTACTCTACTCAATGCTCAAGTCAGGATTTGAGTATGATTCAAAGCACTAGAAATCATACTCAAGTCCTTGCCATTAGGGTCGTATTTCCAGTGCTTGAAATCATACTCAAGTCTGCTCAAATCTGCTGAGTAGAGTTCTGGAATACGACCCTAAATATTTAAAATTCTATAAGTTTCAGAAGGTAATTCCGCTTGTTTAAATAAATTTAAGTTTCAAAATGTGAACAAAAGTATCGCCAAAAATATTTTTCTAAAGTTTTATTTAATAATTGACTTCACCTTAGTGTTGCATAGGAAAAACCGTGAAATTCTCATTCAAAGAAATACGCGTGTAATGACAATGTAAATAGTTGCTTTTTTATTTGTTTTTCAAAGAAGAAAAACATGCACGCACACAGGAACGCACCCGCGCATACACACACACAAACACACACACACACACACACACACACACACACACACACACACACACACAACTGCTTTTGTGTTTATTTGCCTTTCTTTTACTAAGTAAAGTGACATTAAATAGGTATACAGTAACATGATTCTTTAGTTATATATTTTTTAAATAAATTTTTATCTTTTCACGACAAAAATATCTTTTACATAGGCAAAACTTACCTAGTTTTCATTAACGTTTTTCAACTTCTGGTCCGCTACATTTTACGTTCCTTTTTTAACTTTTGTATTTAATACCTAATTTAGGTATATCAACGATACACAAGACCACTACATACATCGTCTTTCGTTTTACATTATAACCACAGACATATATTTAGATTATAACTTAATATAGAGAGCTTGTACTGTGTCCACTTTTAATTTTAAAAGTAGACTAAAGTTTAATTTAACATAAATTAAGGAGCTTAAGAAAAATAATATGATCTATATGGCACAATAGCACTTTCTAATAATTGTAATTTTTTTCATTGAAAAAAAAACCGACTTCAAAGTTAGCTTATCGCGATGCTTTATGCGATGTTCCTGGGATCCCCTCATCAGATTCTGACTTCTTGGTGACAATGGGACTGTTGCGGACTACATTGTACATTTTATACATTGACTTACAATTATATGGACGTCGGGTCCGCGCTAAAAAGTGTCCGAACTTATAGGGCGTTCAAATCGTATACAGAGCGTCATTCGCGCTTTAGTCTTCGTTTGTTCGACTGACAGCGAAGCAAGCAAAATTAGACAGTACTGCGATGACATTACAATTTAAATCTAACGTTTTAGCTTTTTCACATTCCTTTACATCTCACTACGTTTAAATAGGTTGACTTGGGACATTTTTTTCGTGGTTTTTGTATTAGACCCGTCGTCCATTTATTTGTAAGTCAATGATTTTATACATTTTTTCTGATTGTTATGGTGACGGTGATTTATTGATCACATGCAACAATGTCTTGTGAAAAGTCGATTTTTATTTGCGGAAAATAATTAGTGATTTGTGATAGCCGAAGCGAACTCGGAACAGCGTCGTCAGCATCAGGGACCACTTCGAGAGTATATTATTATGCTTTGAAACAAAAAAAAGAATTTTCAAAATCGGTCCACAATTTCAGGATTTTCCTCGATTTCCATGGGGATAATCAAATTCTGACTTGGTGACAATGGGACTACCATGAGAGTGCACCCTTTCAAACAATAAAATAATTTTCAAAATCGGTCCACAATCCACGGAAAACATACATGTAGCAGAACGTATAACCTCCTTTTTTTTAAGTCGGATAAAAATGGTAATAGCAGTAAAGATCCAATGACTATTAAAATGGACGAAAAGAACAACTTTATAATTACTTTGGGACATTTTCAAATCTCTAGACTAGGTACTCAAATAATCTCTCTTTCAAGCTTTGATTCTTCTACACACGATCTACGATCCAAAAATACTTTTGAAAATAGACAATATCCATTTGTCATCTACCAATATAAGTAATCTTCCTTTGCTACTTCAAGTACCTTCCCAAAAATGCAATCTTGAGTCTTGATGAGTATCATGACTTTCGCTCAAATGTTACAGAACTTATTAAAGATATATATCTACGTCCTTCAAATGCTGGTAATTACGATCCCAGTATCCTCCATTATACAGCCAATCTTCCTGCTTGGTGTACGGATTGGTACCTTGACTGAACCACCTGGAAGAAAATACATCGTTTCACATTAAATTAACACTTAGAGCAGGGGTTCCCAAACTTATTTTGTCTACTGCCGCACTTTGAGAATAAATTATTTTTTAGCGCCCCCATTTTTTCACCTACTTATAAACCACTATAACTTCAAATTAAATTAATTATTGTGAGCTATATTAGCGGAGATTAAACATTCATTCTAAACGAGACTTTCATTAACCTGCAAGAGTTAACTTGAGACCCGAGCGCAGTAGGTAGTACACAACGGCGCTCAGGTCTCAAGTTAACTCTTACGGGCTACACCTGCCAATGAGAATGATTATTGAAACGCAACTTTATAGTATTCAGACAGAGAATCTTTTATTCGAAATAAAACAAACATAATCGATTCTAATATAAAAACTAATGTGAAGGATGAATCTGATGCTTAAGAACAGCCGCAAGACACCACGTTTGGTAACATGCAAACGATTTCTCTTTTTAGTAAGCAGCTTTGCCACAGCACCAAAACCACGTTCACACAAATATGACGATGGAAATACTATCAAGAATTGTTGAACGATTGACCACAATCCAGAGTACAATTGCGGGATCGGTTTTATAGCCAAAGTTCTTGGTAGCCATTTTTGAACTTGATTTTTATTTCCTCGTTCGTTGTCAATTCTATAAGTTCTTCTTTCAGCTGAGGTGATATTGCTGTGTTCACATTTGAAAACGGATCCATCACCCAGTCTGGTATTTTCAAGTTAAAAATGTCCTGGTATCGTTCGGTGAAGTCAATGTGGAGGTTTTCCAAATATTGGCAGTAGGCAAACAAGTCGTCGTTACTGCAGGATACTGATAAATTCGGAAAATTGTGAAACTAACGTCTGCCCATATTCTTTTTGTGTAGTTTGGCTGCGAAAGCAGCAATGACATTTTTTGTTTTAATTAAATTTATTTCATCGCCTTGCTGTTGGAGTTTCATGTCGTTGAACAATTTATACAGGTCTGTCATGTAAGCTATATCATTCTTTGATGTAATAAGCTTGTTGCGCAATTCTGTATCTTTAGTTTCCAAGAACTCTATCACAGAGTCAAACAGGTTGTAAAAGGGAGTCAAACAATTGCCTCTTGATAGCCAACGAACTTCAGTATGAAACAACAAACGGTTGAAATGTTCGTCATTAGTAACACAAAGCTGATGAAATAATCTATCATTCAAAGAGCTGTTACGGGTTTTTTTGACTGCTTTGATGACATATTGCAGTGATTGAAATAGTCGTTCACTTAAATTTCTAGCAACCAAGTGTTGTCTATGGATAACGCAATGTACAGAAAGGACATCTGGAATTTTATTTTTTAAGTACGCTGTGAAGCCTTTATGGCACCCTGTCATAGCCGGAGCGCACTCCGTAGCATCTGATCTGTTTCTCATCACAAAACTTTTCCAATGTATTGAATATGGTTTCGTCTTTTGTATCGGTCTTTAAATTTCCAGCAAACAATAGTTCTTCACATATTTTCTCATCTTTAATAAACCTCACGTAAGACAGCAACAATGCTTTATTAGTTGGTAAAGTGGACTTATCGAGCTGAATTGAGAATTGACTAGTCCTCAGGTGATTGCACAATGATTCCTCAATGTTTTCAGCCATTTCATCAAGTCTTTGCACAGAATTATTACTCAAAGGATTTTTTCGGATAATATCTGCGGCCGGTTTATGAAACACAGTAGTCATTACTTCCCTTATTGCTAGAAAAATTAACTCTTCTCCGATGTTGTGTGGTTTGCCTTTTTGAGCATTTAACATAACGTCATCTTGCTTAGCAGTCGCCGAAAAGAGTTTTGCTACACTTGGCTGAGTATTATGCTTCTCTTCTAGGTCTTGAAAATATGCTACATTCTTCTCTTTCTTATCTGGATGATTTTATTCAAATGATCTTGCAGTCTTGAAGGCTTCATTGCTTCAATTGAAAATGTTTTTAGACATAGAAGGCACAAAGGCGACGATGGGTTTGTGGGATTTTCAATGAATCCGAATTCCGCACAGTATTGCCATCTCTTCTTTTTTACTTCCGACATTGTTTTGGTTTGAGAAATACGTAAGTAAGTGTTGAACTTAAGTACTGCTTATCTATTACGCGCGAAACCGCAAATGAAAATAAAATAAATATTATGTTGTTTTCATAGGATTGCATAAGCAGCACGCACCTATAGGAATAAGACAAACATGCATAAACTCGTTTATCTCATTCGACGCTCAATCGGACTCAACAAGTAAGAACAAGTATTCTATGAACCAGCCGATCGATGCAGGAATGCACAAATCGGGTTATTTAATAAAAACTTGTTAAAACATGATTGCCCGCAGTCTACCTACGAAAATTACCTATCTAGGAATACTAATAACTATTAAAATGCGAAACTGTGTCTGTTGCCTTTTTAATTGTTTGTTTGTGTCTACTTTCATTTCGGAACAACGGAGCGACCGATTGACATGATTTTTATCTCTTAATTAATATTAATTGATGTTCACAAGTTGTAGTCGAGAGTCGAGAGCTCAGTCGGTGTCTAAGATTCTTCCTAGATGAAATTGCAACTCTCCCCCTAAGCCTCTACACAACGCCCCCATTTTTTTCTGGGTCCTTTTAGGCCTGCAGCGCCCACAAGGGGGCGTTATCGCCCACTTTGGGAAAAGCTGATTTAGAGTAGGTAACCACGTTCCTGTAACGCCTTCTGGCGAGACGGAATGACGATCTGCGAATGGCAGCTGGCAGCAGATGAATGCGACAAGCTGAGCACCGAGCGAAATGGCGCACATTGGGAGAGGCCTATGTCCAGCAGTGGATTGCGATAGTATAATGATGATGATGACACTCTTGGATATTTTTATGACATCGCGATTCTGAGCATCTTGCATTCAATGACCAATCTGCAAACACTGCGTATTTCTTCCCTGTGACTTAACTGCTATAAGAACAATGTTAAAGACTTTTGTTCATATCACACTGTTTTCGGTATCTCTGGTTTTTTGCAGACCAATAATAAAATCTTAAAATATTCATACCTAGGTTGCCAAGCCTCAGACGATTTCTTCAGCAACTTCCGAGCGGACCTTTGTTTCTCCTCCAACCTGGTTTTTTCAGCGGCTGCACCATCTATGTCACCTTGCTCCAAGAGCCTGATATCTGGTCTAAGTCTGCTATCAGTTGGACATAGTTGGCCCTTCATATCGCGTTCAAGCTCGTTTAAGGACATCGCAAATTCCGTGAATTGGTAATACTGAAACGAAATGATGTGGTTCAAATAATATTACAAATACAGTCTCCATTGGATTAGATAAAGGGGACGAAGGTCTACTACCTTCTGAACTATCTATATGCTTCTCATTCTTAATGCTTATTTCATTCATTTCTTCTTAAGCAGGATTAACAGATCGGTAAGTGTTGCGTTGAGGCAAAGACTACCAACAAAAAAAAAAAAAAAAAACAAAAAAGTCTACCAATGCCAATAGCATAAATATAGTTAACAGTACATACCTGTGCACTATTGACAGGCCTAGGCCTAGCCTCCCACAATACCACTGATTCTGGTATATCTATGTTATATGAATCATCGGGCTTCGGTACGTCATCCGAGTCTCCTTCGTCAGTCTGCAAAAAAATATAGGCATTTTACTATCTGTTTTCTCTTAGATTTCGGGCTCTCGTATAGTGAGTATTGTCTGGCTGGTAGTGTGGCTATTATACTAAATTTCACGACCTCGTAATGAGAGTGTGTCTCCGCCTTGCAGTTTGGCAGGCTTTGAATTTGAACTCAAGTATTATTTTTATATAACAAACAATTTATTTATTATTATTATTAGATGAAAAAACCACTTCCAAAAACTTTAACTCTTGATCCGCAAAACTACTGATTGAACTGAACATTTGTGTACGTACGTTTTCATGGGGAAAACTGGTTCAGTTTCATGAATAGAGTACTGATTCTATTGCTCTATTCAAATATGACTTCTATTTCAAAGCACTAGCTTTACAAATCCAGAAATAACACTTCGAAATCACCCAAAAAACTGTTACTCACATCTTGTATGGACATGGACCGCAAAGCACCAACTTTGAAGCTGTTTAACTTAGCGAGAACTTTCTTTGGCGTGTGGGATGGTGTCTGTGAGCTGGACTCTCCATTCTCCTTGGCCCATTGTTCGTAGGCGGCAGAACTGCAGCATTTGATCGATTCCGTCCATTTACCGTAAAGGAAACGAAGGCGTTTTTTGCTGAAGAGAAAGAAAATTGGAATGGTAACGTACTCAGTATACAAAATAATAATCTTGTAATATCGGTTTTACATAATGTATAATTTGCCTATAACACTAAAGGACGCACATTTATCAGTTTTATTCTGTGCCATTTTCCCCAAAACCTAATGAAACATTTAACATACACAATGGCAACGTACTTCTGATCAACAACAAATCCATCAACCCTGTGCAGATCACGGTTGTTAAACCCTGCAGGTTTGAAGACCAGGTTGGCCTTGAGCCCAGCGCCGCCGTGGCATGTCACTTCCATGGGGCCAGATTGTTCGATCCACAGTTTGCCCACGATCACGTTGTGCACGCAGCAGTTCACGTTGCTCCAGGTGTATGCTTCGCCCCACCTTAACAAATAAAAAAATCACCGTATCACCATTTTTGAAAAGTATTCTTTGCTTTTACAAACTCAAAACTATATTCTTAATGATATTCCTATTAACATGAAATTCCTAAAATATTTTTAAATTCCTTTATTATTGTGAAATTATTCCATTATAATTATTAATAACAAAAATTCCTTCGATCGGACAGGCCTCGACCTCGATGTTTTCTTCGACATCTGTTACCTATGTCAATATATGGCAACCGCTCTACCTACTGATCGAGTCAGCCTAGATTGGCAAAACAGATACAGATTCGAGCCCTGTCACATCGAAGGAATTTGTCTTTGTGTTCGGTGTTTGTTGTTAATTATTATGATCTTGCTTGATTACTTTAATTTTACTGTGTAAGTAACTGGGTTTGCTTTAAAAGTTCATTTATTTGTGGAAACACACGTTATTTGAAAGTTCACATGTACAAAATAAATAGAGTTTCACTGTGTCCGGCCAAATATTAGGCATACAAACGTATTGAAAGTGTTATTCATTATACATTTATTCGCATGCATTTTAACAGACTTAACCAGGTACAACATGTTATTTTTTTCTAATATCACATGAGCGAGCACACATGGATTTAATAAGTCGGTCAGCAATGTAGGCGCAATGATAGTTATATTAAAAATATTTTAATTGAAATTGGTTAAAATATTTTTAATATAATTAAATGTCAAAATAATAAAACTAGTAACGTCTAAAAAGAAATATAAATATAAACATCCGACAATGAAGTTAGGGATTTGTCATTTAAAAATTCGGACACTGTATAGTAAATTTTATTAGTCAATAAGTTGTTTGATTTTTTTTTTAATAATATAAGTCTTTTTTCAGACTTCAATACTTTCGGTAAATTATTGTAAATTTTTGGCGACATTATAAAGACACTTTTGTGCATGAAAGTAGTTTTACAAGCTTTCGAATGAAGTTGGTCATAACGTCTTGGCTTTAGAGTTTGCGTGAACAAGTGTGGGTGCATTCGGACGTATATGGCAGTTTCGTATATGTAAAGTGAAGGTACAGTCAGTATTCGAAGATCCTTAAAATATGTTTTACGACTATCTGTAATCTTCAAACGACACATTGCTCTGACACATCTTTTTTGTGCCTTGAAAACTGAATTCACATTGGTTGCATTTCCCCAGAATATTATACCATATCTTAATATTGAAGCAACATACCCATGATATGCTTGAAGGACCGAGCTTCTATTTACAGTTTTGCAAAGAATGTATAGTGCATATGCACAAGTGTTGGGTTTATTGCTAACATTTTCTAATTGTGCTTTTCAGCTTATTTTATCATCAACGTGTATATCTAGGAATTTTGTTATATCTGTTTGTCCTATGTGTGTCCCTTTATATTCTATGTTTATTTGACTAGCTGCTTTTCTCAACTTAAAATTAATGTGCTTGGTTTTTTGAAGATTGATTTTCAAATTATTTTCTAGAAGCCATTGTATTAATGAATTTAAGCTGTTATTTATTTCATTTTCTTTAATATATGTGACCGTACAATCGTCCGCATAAAGCGTCATGGGATGATGGGATGCCTTAGTGTTAGAGGTAATGAAACCTCATTTGAGAATACCTGCGTGTATGTGGAGTCGGGTAAAAAAAAGGAAATACTTTGACTCCTATCATTTTCAAAATGTGGAACCAATATAAAATGTATAAGATTTTTGAATAAAATATTTAATAATTACTTCTCGGGCGTGAGTGTTTTCTTTCAGGTTATGGGCTATAAGAAGGCACTAATAAATAAATAAATAACGTAACTAAGCGGTTGAAATTTTGAAATACGAGAAGGTAAGAAGAAGAAGAAGAAGAAAATTCAAAATGGAGTCCTGCAATGTGAAACTTAGAACTAATGGCTCTAATTTTGTGGTCTGGAAATTTCAAATCGAAATATTGTTAAAAGCTAAGCAACTATATTCTAATATTGAAAAAGAAAATGACAATCCGGATGAAAAGTTTCTCGACAAAGATGCAAAAGCACAAGAAATCATTATAAATAGATTAGAGGAGGGAACTATGAACTTGGTCCTATCATGCAAAACGGCATACCAAATGTTTACAAAATTGAAATCTGTTTTTGAGCCTAAAACGAATATAGATACTCATTTACTACAGCAGAAATTTTTCTCTATCAAATATGAAGAAGAAGGTATATGTATGTTTGTCGCAAAGCTCGAGGAAATACGTAACAAACTTGCAGAAAACAAAGAAAATATATCTGAGACTATGATGATAACAAAAATAATAACGTCACTACCTGCGGTCTACAATCATTTTGTCACTGCATGGGAATCAGTACCCCGAGAATATCAAACATTGAATGAACTCACGTCTAGACTGCTGCTTGAAGAGCACAGATTAAAAGAAAACGTGCCAATGCAAGCGTTAGCAATGCGATCTCATCCTTTGCAATCACGTAAATATAGAGTTTCCGTTACTTGCCAAAAATGCAACCGATCCGGTCATGAAACAAGGTATTGCAAAGCGGGCATAAAATGCCATTATTGTGGAAAGTTTGGCCACTTTGCGAATGAATGTAGATTCAACTTACACAAGTTTGCAAATAGAGGAGGCAACCGAGGTCGTGACAAAGAACACGGATGCACATATAACTGTCAAGCAGCTAACGCATTTGTTGGAACAACGGATAACAACCTAGTTGAGTGGTTTATGGACTCTGGAGCATCAGAACATATGTGTAAAGACAAGGACATGTTCATTGAATTAACTACAGAAAAGAATAAAACTGTTAAAATAGGCGACGGATCAATGCTGTCGATAAAAGGTATTGGGTGTATTAGGTTAGAAGCTTACAATGGTAACCAGTGGATAGAAACCACTATATCAAATGTTTTGTATGTGCCGGATTTAAAGGTAAACTTATTCTCAGTAAGTAGAGCTGTAGATAAAGGGTACAGTACAATTATTGATAGTAAATTGTGTAAAATAATAGATTCTGAAGGGTCTGTTAAGGCTATTGCTGAGCGAAATGGAAATCTGTTTAAAATGATTTTTCGTTTGTATAACCAACCTCCTTCAAGTAATGTTGTTCTTGATTTGATTGACTGGCATGACAGACTAGCACATCAAAATTTGACACAAATCAAAAATGTACTGTCAGAGCACGGTGTAATTTACAAAAATATTTCAATTGCTGTTTGTGAAAGTTGCTGTGCTGGTAAACAACATAGAGATATCTTTATACGTAGTGAAAATCGTGCAAATTCTCCGTGTGAGTTAGTACATGCCGACCTCTGCGGTCCTATGGAAGTTCCATCTATTGGTGGTTCTAAATATTTTCTTCTGTTCAAAGATGATTACAGTAATTTCAGAAAAGTATATTTCATCAAAAACAAGTACGAAGTTAAAAACTGCATTGACAATTTTATTGCTCTAGTAGAAAAACAGACTGGATACAAATTAAAAATATTAAGGACGGATAACGGAACAGAATTTGTCAACAATGAGGTATGTAAAATGTTGAATAAATATGGAATCGTACATCAAAACTCTATAAGGTACACGCCTCAACAAAACGGTAGGGCTGAACGGGAAATGCGCACTATTGTAGAAGCTGCCAGAACAATGTTGAAAGCAAAGTCAATGACCAAGAGATTTTGGGCAGAAGCTGTGAATACAGCCATTTATGTACTAAATAGAACTGGCCCAAGTCCCGTAAAGAAAAAAACACCGTTTGAACTTTGGACAAACAAATCAGTTGATTTTAATACTTTTCAAGTTTTTGGCAATCGTGTTTCTTTTCACATTCCGAAGGAAATTCGTAAGAAGTGGGACGATAAGAACGCGATTGGAATATTTGTGGGATATGAAGAAAATGTAAAAGGATATCGTGTTTATGTTCCTGAAAAAGACGATGTTATTTTGACCAGGGATATAATTTTGCTGTCAAATACAGATATCGAAGAAACAAAGACGGAACGGCCGAGTTCACGCGTAATTGACTCTACTGATAGTAATAATTGTGAAATTGAGGAAAATGAAAAAGAAGTAGAGGTTGAAAGGATGGAAACAAGAATAAATAATAGTCAACTCGAAACAGTTACCAACGAAGAATCTGTAGAAACAATTGATATCGAGCAAAGTCAACAAAGCGAACAAAGGAGATTGAGAGATCGTAGTAAGATTCGACCACCACAAAGATATGAAGACTCAGAAATGTATAGTGTACTTCATTTTGCCGAAGTATTTGAACCTAAGTCTTATGAAGAAGCAATTAACGGCAATGAAGCTGATAAGTGGATTGATGCAATGGAGAAGGAAATATCATCCCTTGCGGAGAATAACACGTGGACTGTTGTTCCCAAGCCGGCTGATTGCAAGCCAGTTGATACCAAATGGCTTTTTAAAATAAAGAAAGGCGAAGACGGAAATAAGTTTTTTAAGGCGCGTTTAGTAGCTCGTGGTTTCAAACAAAAAGAATTTGTATCGGCATCCGAAGTTTACTCGCCGGTCGCACAGCTCACAACTTTCAGAATGTTTGTTGCAATAAGTGTGAAATTGGGAATTAAACAGCATCAAATGGACGTCTGTACGGCTTTCCTTAATGGTAAGATAAATGAACTTGTGTATGTGAGTTTGCCTGTGAATTTTAATATAGAAAGTGATAAAGTATGTAAATTAAATCGAGCTCTGTACGGTCTTAAAAAGTCGCCTAAGTATTGGTATGACACATTAGATGACACTTTAAGAAAATATGGTTTTACAGCCAGTAAAAATGATTATTGTTTTTATTATAAAGTGAGTAACAGTATTAAAACTTATTTCCTGGTGTACGTCGATGATTTCCTAATTATGTCGACAGACAATAATGAATTGCTCAATATAAAGAACTATTTACAGAAATGTTTTAAAGTTAAAGATCTAGGTATTGCTAAGTGCTATCTTGGCATAAATGTGTTACAGAACGGTGACCATACAGTTTTAAGCCAAACAGAATATATCGCAGGATTATTACGGAAATTTAACATGCATGAGTGTAAGCCGGTGTCCACACCGATGGACCAAAGTGTAAAACACAGTTTACTGAAATTACATATGTCTGAAAACGAAGCCATCGAAATTAAATGTAGAAAAGCTATCGGTGCAATTATGTATTGTATGTTAGCCACGAGACCAGATTTAGCTAATAGTATGTCAATACTGAGTCGTTACCAATCTTGCGCTTCTGAAGAATTATGGACAGCTATTAAAAGAGTTTTACGTTATTTAAAAGGAACTATGGAGTTAGGGTTAATATTTCATAAAAAATATTCTGATTCTTTTATTGAAGGTTATGTAGATTCAGATTGGGCAGGTGACCTGCTAGACCGTAAGTCTACAACTGGTTACGTATTTAAAGTTTTTGGGTGTACTGTAAGCTGGCTTTCTAAAAAGCAACAGTGTGTAGCTTTATCGTCTACTGAGGCTGAGTACATGGCACTCAGTCAAGCTTGTACTCAAGCTGCGTGGTTATGTAAAATGTTAGAAGATACATTCTTGTATGATAAAATGCCTAGCACAATTTTGTACGAGGATAATCAGGGTGCAATTAAAATAGCTGAGAGTTTAGATTCAAAGCGTCTTAAGCACATAGATATTAGGCACAATTATATCCGAGAACAAGTACATAAAGGAGCTGTCGTTTTGAGGTACATTGATAGCAAGGAACAGTTAGCCGATATCTTTACAAAACCTCTTGACAGAATGCTTTTTGAAAAATTTAGAATAATGCTAGGGCTGTGTTGAGTTCAGTTTTGTTTATAAGTAAGAGGTCCCCCCCCTTACATTTATTAATTAAGTTTTCATTAAGAGGGGGTGTTAGAGGTAATGAAACCTCATTTGAGAATACCTGCGTGTATGTGGAGTCGGGTAAAAAAAAGGAAATACTTTGACTCCTATCATTTTCAAAATGTGGAACCAATATAAAATGTATAAGATTTTTGAATAAAATATTTAATAATTACTTCTCGGGCGTGAGTGTTTTCTTTCACTTAGGCATGTCGTTAATATATATTAAGAAGAGGTATGGTCCCAAAATGCTACCCTGTGGTACTCCATATATTTTTACTTTAGAATCTGACTTATATTCCATTTCTTTTCTTGTCACAATGTTGATTTTATTAATTTTGGTCACTTGAGTTCTACCTATTAAATATGACTGTATCATGTTATGCATATGGCCCCTTATACCATATGAATATAGTTTGTCAAGTAAAATGTCATGGTACACATAGTCAAAAGCTTTTGTCATCTAAATATATAGCAAGACCTGGTAATCCACTATCCATTTGTTATGTATTTTCTCTAAGAATTCGTATATAGCTAAATTAATAGAGCTGTTTTTTCTAAAACCTCTTTGTTCTTTACAAAAAATTTCATTGTTCTCAAAATAATTATACACATTATCATAAATAGTTTTCTCGAATACTTTAGAAAAAACTGGCAATAGAGCTACAGGTCTATATGATTCAATAAGATGTTTATTGCCTTTTTTTATACATAGGTTTTATAACAGTTATTTTTAATTTTTCTGGAAATGATCTCTCTTTAATGCGCATATTATTTATATCACTGAGGACAGGAGAAATTATATCTGCCACATATTTTAGTACTTTTGTGCATATCTCATCGTATCCTGTACTGTTTGTATTTTTTAAATTGCGTATTATATTAAATACGTCTTGAGGGACTGTAGGTTTCATAAAAAATGAGTTACAAGTAGAATAATTACGTGTATTTTTACTTTTTACACTGCAATTTGGTTGAACTTCTTCTATAAAGTAATTATAAAATTTTTGAGCTATTATTTTACAATTTGTTACTAATTTGTCATTAATTTTTAGAGCTGATACAGTGTTATGCGGCATTTTTGGCTTACTATTATTTATTATTTTCTACGTAGCTTTGCATCTGTTTGTAGCTTTGGAAATATAATTATTTTGAGACTTTTTTGTTAGTTGGATTATCCTTTTTAGTTTTGTAGAAAAGATTTTATAAGCAGTTTTGTTCTCATTGCTCTTTGTTTTTCTGTTTTTCCATAACATCTCCCTTTTCTTTTTACAGCATAATCTTATTCCACGTGACAGCCATCTTGGTTTTTGTTTAGCACAATTTCTGACTCTTATTACAGGAAAACTTAATTGGTAAAAAAGTTTGAAAATGTCTTAGAAATCATTAAACGTGTGATTACAATTACAAGCTGTGAATCGTTAAAGCTTAGTTTGCTCAGATATTCTCTAAATTTTAACATATTTTCTAGCGAATAATCTCGTTTAAACGTGTACCAATACTTTCGTTTAATGAAATTTCCAACAAATCTAGCAAATTGTGATGTGTGATCGGACAATGCAAGCTCAACTACTTTCACCTCACACCCATTAAAATTATGTATAACATTGTCAATACACGTACCACTACTAATGCGGGTAGGTTCATTTAATGCTAATTTCAAATGAAAACCCTTTATCGTGTTTTTACATTCTATTTATAATTTGGAGTTCTTTAGGGTGTTTATATTAAAATCGCCACATATAATGATCATTTTCCTCGTTTGGTAGCATACTTCGGTCATGAACTACTAATATTAGGGAGGGATATAGTTTCTACCTAGGCAATTCAACGGTGACATTTCCTTTAGGTTGGATCTCAACGCTCTTTCCGCAGAACTTGAGTTTGGGTTGTACAGAGCCGTGGAATACGAAATGTGGGCTATCGGCGTGGAAAGCTGACACTGGTGGATGGTGGGACACCTGTGATGAAGAATATACAGAAATTTAATTTAAATAAACTTCTCTTACAAATTAATTTACAAACAGAAGAAGAATTTCAATGAGTTCTTAACACGAAGAAGTGTGAAAAATCTAAGACAAATATGGATTATATGATTAATATTAGGTACTTACTTGCTCACAAACGGCTCTGAATTCAGGTCTCTCCAATTCATAGGTCTCACCGAGTAGAGGATTGAAGGGTTTGCCAAGACGTTCCCAGTTGGAGGCCAAAGCGCTGACTGCGAATGCTGCATGAAAAAATAAGTGCAAAGTTATATTTTGCTTGATTAAGAAATAAACTTAAGACTACACAGCAGCTTCTTCGTGTGTGTTAAGTAGTAAACTCAATGTGATCACTAGTTCTAATGAATTTTCCATTTTCATCATAATCATGGAATGAACAGACCAAAGGATAAAGAAAAAAGACGATAATTATGGCAAATTTTCCGTTTTCTGTAGACAGTCAATTACTTGAGACATTTGTGGTAGTACACAGACCTGCGATATACTCCATCCTGGTAACCGGATCAGTCTGTTCCGATGCCATGCGCAGCAGATGGGCATATTCAAGGTACTCCAACATCCGCTGAAGGAAGGAAAGTGGTTCGTTGAACACCACAGGCATCGTGATCTTGGACAGCTCCTTGCCGACGCAGTTCTTTAGCACCGACCACAGGGAGAAGTCGCCGCGGCTGAATTGGGCAACGGGGAGCGAGGTCCTGGAACAAGCAGATTAGATAATTGAATAAACGGGCATCTATGTGGATCTGTAAAATAATGTTTTCGACCCAGAAATGTAGCCCAATAGCATCCGGACGTCCCTTTACAACTTTCGGGTGTGTTACATGTATGTTGTGCATATGTTGTTAAACGTGCGATCTGGGGCGTGAAAACCATTCATTGTAAGTTAAGCTAGGTCATGTAGGGTAAAACTTCAATAATCGATGAGAGGTATCTGAGTCAATAATTGATTTACGATTGAGACCTCTTCATTATCGATGATACGTGAGGCGCGACTCTGCAAACTGTCCAAGGCATCGAGAAGGGACTAGGCGGTGTTATACCAGAGGTGCGAACAATACTCGACGCAAGACTTAATTTGTACAACAGACACAACTGGTCAGGCGTGAAGAAACGACGCACCTTGTTCAGGACACCGAGTTTTTGTGGTGCTGTTTTGATCACCGTTTCGATGTAGCTCCTTGGGTTCAGATCGCAGCAAATCTCCATACCAAGCAAGGTGATGCTGCTTTGTTGCGTTAGATTTGTGCTCATTAGAGAAAGAGCGTGAAGGAATGGTGTCAATTTTGCCGTAAACATGTAAACCTGTATTTTCTAAGCATTGAACCCAACAAAAACAATTTTCAGCGCAAAAGCGTTTTTTTGCACGCTAGCGTGGAAAAGGTTTTTGAAATTCGAACTTGACGATGGAATGTGATGCACATAACTTTATATTTCGATGAAAAAAAAAATAATGGCAAGTTCACGTTGAATTAAGGGATTTGTCGTACATTACTTATTTATGTCACGTAAATCCGTTGGTATATTTTATTCTTATTATTGTCGACATTAAATTGACAATGATAACTAATTGTGTTTATTAAATTATTTTAATTCGTCGCAAAACTAAAATAGTTTCAATAATCACTTAATAACACAAAATAAAAGTACAAACAAAAATGAAAATTGATGATGTGTAAATTCAGAACGCATCCGAACATAAACTTTTTCTTTTCATTAAAAAAGGTTTTATAGTTCAACTGTTTTTCTTTCATCTACCATTTCACTTGTTATAGTGAGGTGAAAAGTTGTGTGTTTCGGTCAGCGAAGTTGTTTTGCGTCTCGTGCCTTGAAACCCTCGCTACGCTCAAGGATCTACATATATTTGAACCACTTCGCTTGCTCAGGTGTCAATAGAAGCACTCGCGGCAAACAACAACTTTGTAGCCTTGCATAACAAATAACTATTACTTTGTAAGGGTAAATCTTAGAATAATAACGCATAGAAACCTAGTCCGCACACGCTAAGTGAGGCAAATTGAAGAGCGCCAAAAGGGCCTACACGAGCGGGCGGGCCTTCAAGCTCAATGTCAACTTGCACCGCGAACAGATCAAGAATTTTAGCTAAAAATGACGAAATGTGCGGTAAATGAGTGTAAAAATACGTCAGACAAACATAAAATAGATACTAACATCACATTCCACAAGGAAGTAACGCGTTTCAACTTGTATTTTTATATAAATATTCACTAAAACCGAAAATTAATCTACTACTAAAACTAGCCTACATGAATTTGATTTTTGTCTCACTTGTGACAGTTCGTTTGATATGAAACTATCATTCTATGCGTTATTATTCTAAGGGGTAAATAATCTTATAAGGGTAAAAAATCTTTGACAGTTAATGGGTAAGGATGTTATCTATATTTAAATCTATAGCAATCCATAAAAATTCATAAAGTATAAAAAGCCGGTTTAGGCTACTAACGGTTTTGTCTACCGCCTCTCAAGCGAATGCGTGCGATCGAATCCGTGTTTGCACCTCTCAATGTTTCGGAAATTATCTTATATTGTTAAATATGAAATATACATGAGCTTTTCGGTGAAGAAAAACATTCTGTGTGCAGACATCTGCAAATCAATTCAATAATGTAAGTAATGTAAGTTCATAATATTATATTATATCGCTCTATTATAATAACTCCCAATTAATTACAATTAAATATACATTTTTACCCCCGTAGTTACTTTTTTACTTAACAAATATTTCCTACAATTATGATGTTCTCGTTGTAATCCAATGTTTCATTGCGTCTTTACTTGTATTTTTTTTATTTACTGTTGTTGTTATTAACTTGATGTAGTTTCAAGTTGTCAATTGCATTGTGCATCATGTAAAAATTGCAAGTGGTATTTACCTGTAATTGTTTGATGCATTTAGTTTGTAATATATTTTTTTTGCTAGCATAAGTTCCTATAATTGTAACAATGTACTCAAGCGTTGGTAAATCTTAAATAAATAGAAAAAAAATTTAAAAAAAATCGGCTTTGCGAGAGGACTCTGTGCCCAGTGGTATTATATATAGGTTAACTATTATATAGCTAGTGCGTTATTCAATAATACTTGAGTTCTAGTGGAATATGGCCGAAAGTGCTGAAATTACTTGGTTGTAAAAAACATGCGCTACGTACGTAAGGTGGAAAAACTCGTTTGCCTGAACTCGCTTGACCGAGCGCTACTGTAACGTTATTTCAATTTATCGAATGGTTGAAATTCATATCACACAGTGTTCATTGGTTTGGATAAATATATTAGGTCAACGGACATTAATGTGGAAATAGTAGTATACTTAATTATTTTCAATCTGAACCAAATATATCACAGCCTGAGACGAAAATTGGATATAGCACCGATATCGATTCATAAAATGTTTTGTTTTTATTTATTTTATTTTATTTAAACACTTTATTGTACCACAAAGTAACTTACAAATTTTCAGAAACAATTTAAATATTTGTGTACAAAGGCGAGCTTATCCCATAAAGAGATTTCTTCCAACTAACCTTTGAAAATCTGAGAGGAAAGTTGGTTTTTGGGGTGGCACTAAAAATAGATAAGTAAAGAAATTAAATATACTATACTCAATAAATACACAGATAAATTTAATAAATCAAATGTACATACGAATATATATATATTAAGTAATGTTGATACATTAATACATACAAAGTCTATAATAAATTGAATGTACAAAATAAAACTATAAATAAATATATCAAATGTAAATAAATATTTCGAAAGCTCTAACATGTGGAGTCTGAACAATCCCAAAACTTCAAAAACATATATGTATCGTTATTTTTATTTCCACAATAGATTTAAATGAAATATATTTTAATTAAAAAGAGAGTACCTCAGTAGTGGTCTTATTTAAATTTGAAGAAAATATTCCACCTCTAAAGGGTGGTAAACTAGGGGATGAATGACTTTCGAGTTCGGATTTTTAGTACCCTATCCTGAGGTTATTGTTATTTTTTTTTTAACAAAATTCGTTTTTTGGTTTTTCCAATTTTTTTTTTGTATTTTTTCTTATCAAAATTCGGGGGGTATAATATTAGTAAATAAATATGCCTGTTTACAAGAATAACAGAAAATGATCAAAAAATAAAGTTAGTATAGTGTTCATTGGAGGTATCGAGATGAAAATATGTTGCGCATTGTTAGTGCCTATTCTTACGTAACAACACAATTTGTAGCGAATCGCTACAAATCTCTTTGTATATACAAAGCTTTAGCTTAAGCTTTTAAGCTTAGTTTTATATTTAAATTCTAAATTTAAATGTGTTTGTTTTTGGCGCCTTTTTCTTTACTTTAGTGACTTGTTTTGCTGTTTTGCTTTGACAGCGACATACGTGTTTTGTAATGAAATTATTAAACTGTAAGTACATTTGCTTGGCCTTGCTCACTCGTTGTTAGCACCCAACCTTTAACCCATTGATACAGTCTGCTACACAATTAAAAAAAACATTGGCAAATTTCTGCAACGGTCAAAACTTCATTGAAAAATAAAGATAAGCAAAAACTGCACATATCGTAGAAATATTTCGTTGATGGGTACATAAACTGTTTATATATTTTGTGTACTCCATAAGAATGTACATATATCAGCTTTCTGAAATTTTTTTTTTTATAACATCAAGTGACAGAACGAGCAAGTCGTGCGCCTGATGGCAAGCTACACGCCTGTCCATAACAGTTAGGGCGCGTGTACACGCTAAGAAATTCGACGTGTCTGTTACACAAAAGATGAGAATGGTCGTGTACACGACTAGAACTTTGTGGGATCTAGCCACGAAAACATGTCGTGTCTATTGCAGACGAAAAAATGATGAGTACCTATGTACAGGATAAGAATGATTTCGGACCGATGTGTGTAGAGTAAAATGTGTCGGTGCATTACAAGTCTTCCAAGTAGCTGTTGTTTTACTATATACCGACATATAGTAACCTACTCTTGTATAGACTTTTAGGCGACTTTTCTTAGCGTGGACACGCGCCCTAACAGTGCCACTCGGAGCTTTAAATTGCAAAGATCTGAGGGGCACTACCACTGCGCCCATCACCCTGAGAAATAAGTTGACAAGTCCCATGTGCCTGTAATTTCACCAGCACCCTTAACCCTTCAAAACCGGAACACAGTAATGCTGACATTACTGCTTGACGGCAGAAATAGGTAAGGTGGCAGTACTACCCTGGATGAACTCTTTCACAAAGAGCTCTACTGCTACTAAGTACTCTACTGGTACAATACTTATATAATTACTATTACTATTATTCGTACTGAAGAAATCACAAAATTAATGTTATTTTTAACATTTTTTCATTTACTGTATTTCACTGCTCTGCCATAAAATGTTAGCAGATAGAACTTGAAATCATGTTTATTCGTTAATTCGAGGTACTTCCGCTGACACGCGTACACGACGCGCAGCCGCCGCGCGATGACCGCCCAGTTACTGCGCTCTCACGTACATTACTGGCGAGTCTGAATTCTGTTTACTAGGGAACAACACTTAAATTCGGCCGCTGCGCGGCCGCCGACTACATCAAAGCTAGTCTCGCCCGCGCGCCCGGGACGCACATTTAAGTTAAAACGTAAAAACTAACCAAATAGAGCGCATTTTGCCATGACAGTTAGATGTACGCGGTCGCTGTGCG